TTTTGTGCCAGGTCAACCCCTAAAATAGCCAACAAAAACATACAACAAAGAACTTTGCCAGGTTTCATAACAATCTCCCACTATAAACTATAACCAAACAAAATTGCTATGGAGAACACTTGTCAGGATCATCAACATGGATATTTAATTCTGATTACTGACTGCCTAAAAGAAATTACTTCAAGTTGATATACTATACAGATGTTTTGCACATACCTCCAGGGATGGCTAGACAGTCCTCTACAATTACAGTCCAAACATGGCTGCCCTTCAATCTCGCTTGTATTGAATGGACCCTGGATAGTTTCAAAATATATAGTTGCTATCAGTTAGGGGGTTTGCCGTGTTCAAGGAAACGGAGCATCTAAAATCATAGTTATAAAATTATGGCAGTGCCCTAATAGGGTGATGATGCCTCACAAGGCTGTGGTCTAAGAAAACTCACGAGGAGCCCACAGGTTCCTAACCATGAAATCCTAGGTTCCCAGCAAAAGCTTATATGAAAAAAGTAAGTTTTTTCAGTCGCCCAAAGGCAAAAGTTAGTCACCTGTGGCACCCAGGCACCTCTAGAGCACAACCTCAAGGTGACAATTTTCTTTGGCTTGCCTGTCGGAGGCAACTTTTTCCAGAGAGGGCTTGTGCAAGCCCTCTTTCAATTCAAAGCTAATGACCAGTAATGGTCTAGGATACTTTTTGTTCATTTAAGTCCTTAGTTACATAGAGGGGAAGGACTATCTACATTCATATTGCTTTCATTATTTTAGTAAGAATATAATATCATGTAAGTTCAATGAGTTGGGAACATTTTCAGGGATATATTACATTCTTAATAGGGTAGGGATATTAATCATGTTGGTCTAACTTGCAAACCAACATTCTGGCCAAATAGAGTAACTGTTAAATTGAGGTTGATCACTTAATAAGTTGAGCCGAGGTAGGGGGGCAATGGAGGTTTACGCTTGAGCAATAATTATGGCTGACTGTAATTCAAATTAGTTTGTCGGAGACGCAATGTTAATTTTTTTCCCAGTGAATATACAGACTGAATGTTGATGTGTTTAATATGTTTTCTAAACCCCTGCTGATTCTAAACAATGAAGACATCTGAAGCACCCTCTAATTGATGAAACTAATATCAGATCAATTCATCAGGATTAGATGTAACAACAAAAGTAAGTTTAAACTGAAGAACCACCGCAGACATTGTATTCATCAGTCCATGACACAAAAAACGAATCAAACACTTTTAATTGACCACATCAATAAAATTTGATTGATGAATTGAATTTCAATTTGATTGAACTGGATTGAACTATACAAAGTATAAACAAAGTGGACCCCCGATCCCCCCTGCCCCCCTCTGATCCCACCAAAAAATTCTAATGTTTCGAGTTGGAGGTGACCCACGGAATTTCAGTCATTTTCTTTATACATCATTTTTATGATTTTTAAGTTCAATGTTCAGCTACTTTTGTATCTGCAGCGTGACTTTGAGTAAACAAAGGATACACATCTAGTTTAATATTGAACTGGAGTCATGTTCACCCTGCTATTTTAAAGAGATAACGATCACTGCACTTGAAGTTCTTTTTGACAGCCACTACAGCCGGTTTCAAACTGGGTTATTTTGTTCATTTGCCATCAACACAATCGTTGTCTTCAAGACATCAACAAAGAGGCAACAGTAAACACATTTGCATTCTATTTGTCAAGGCCTTGTATGCATTCCTTCAAGGGTCAACAAGGCAATGGCGACTGGAATTCTAAGCAAAAAAAACTCTAGTAAGACATTAAAGGTCTCTGGGGGATTTATATCAACTTGGTAAGGCTGTAGCATTTGACTGGGCGCCCAAAATGATAAGATATAATAAAAAACATGCGAGGGAATCACAACAGCATTTCTACTTTCGAAGTCACACCCAAAGAAAGGGCATGAAAAAATTCAGTGCTAAAGATTTTAACCGACAACTTTGCATCATTTCTCCGTTTTAGCACAAAAGTGTTTGTTTTCGAGGCAACGAAGCACGAGAGGGGTGATATTTGGTCGATGTGGTAGAAAGTACAATCGAAGTTACTACGAAATGAAGCCACATACATGTATCTAGTGAATACAGCTGTTCTGATAATTTTTACCGCGCCAAAGGTGTGTCCTACAATAACAAATTTCAGTCGCAGCGATTCAGTTTACTACGTTGACCTGCAATCACAAAGAAAGATAACAGTCGCTTAAGGTAGCGTTGTATCGCAGAAAGGAATCTTACCCGCGAGTCGCTTACTAATGAATGAACGGATTTGTAAGTTTATAGTGTGCGCCTCAAGAGATTCCGCGTTTGAGAGCACTCATACGCTCTTGGGTAAAACATCGCACAAAATACGCCTCACCTTGCCTCTGCTCGCATCTGACTTGAAAGTAATGAAGTCCAGCGAGTCGAAATCGGCAGCCAACATCGTCCCCGACACCGTGTGACGGGCAAAGGGAAACTCAACTAGAACGCGCTTAGCGACTGCCGGGGTTTTTTACTCTAGATCCGAAGTATCGAAGAACCAATCACTGTCGCGTAAGATAATCATGTGTTTGTTAGTTTGACAAGCGTTTCGGTATGTGAAATTCTTTGCCAGTCAAAACAAAACGATTGTTATGAGCGAGCGTCGGCTCTCGCGAGAAGATGTCTTGAGAACCATTTTGACTTCAGTTAACAAAAGTACCTTCTCTAAACAGGTTCTTAAAATTTATGTCAACAAATAAAACACGCTCAAGAATCCGTGAGAAAAAAATAGCCTCTTGATTGTTCTCCAGACTCGTTACATTCTTTTTCACTCTTCACTGACGTCTCATATTCACTACATTTATCAATATGCACGGGTTAAATTGATAATCAATTAGTTATATTTTTGCACCATGCCAGAGCCGTAATAAAATGAATCGCAGTGTATGCCAGTTTCCAGACGAGTAATTATTGTACATGTCTGGCAGGAAATCTTTGAATCAATGTTACAATAGATAACGTGATTTTAGAAATCTCGAATGATTTTGATTTTCACTACAACGAATCATGGCACTAATAATTTCGATTTCGATAGCAAAGATCAAAGATCAAAATTTCTCTAATAAAAAATGCAAAATGTAAAGAGCTTTGACACTCACTGATTAATAAAAGACATATGAAGGCTATGTTTATGTAAAAATCTATATGCCTTACACTTATCTTAAGACCACCATATTTATACAATAAAAAGAGGTGAAAAATTGATAACTGAACGCAATCCTACCTAAATGACCCCAAACAGGGTATCTTTATTTCATCGATTAGTGTAGAATTACGGAATATCAAGTAGCGATCTTTTCAACAAGAAATGTGATGTTTACGACACTGTAAGAAGATTAGAATGAGACTTAAGATTTACAAAAAGCATATAAAAAGGCAAAATATAAAAGGTATAAAAAATATAAAGCTGTAAGAAACAATTTATTCGTAAACTATTAAGCTATACCGCTAAAATATTTATAGGCATGTGAACCGTACAAATCTATTGTAGACCAGTTGTAGACCTTTATATACTAGTCTGCTATTTGTATTTTATTTTTCGAGAGGGGGGACTTCTATTTCAAAAAAGTTAAATTCTGAGGAAAAATAAATGAACTACTAAAAATGAATTTACCGACCAAATTCAAAGTTAATGATGTGGTTTTCTTGTTTTGGATTTACCATTACATTTGTCTGTAAATTTTCCACGGACGGTTCTGAAGGGTAAATATGTAGTCGTAGGCTTATGGGTGGGGTTGGGTAGCTCCGTACCTTCTTTATCGGTTAATAGCGGAAATCCGCAAGTGTTAACAGTCTATAAACAAGTAGAATCTAAAAAAAGCGCTCAAAAAGGTCAAGATTAAGACGACAAAGGCATGAAAGAAAATACGAAGAAAATATCGCAGGCTAGACACAAGTTAGCTAGCCCACCAGTTGAACTGTACACGTAAGCTGAGAGGCCGAGCAGAATACGAGCAGAACAGCTTTATCTAAGCAGAATCAGAATAGTTATATGAGAGCAGAATTTTAAGCAGACTAGTCATGGATCACCCGCTGTTGTCTTCTTGTCAGATGTCTAAATGAGAGAGGGTCACCACGGCCGCGTTACTAAGGTCCCGATTGCACTACGCCGGAGAAATTTGAAAACGCAGCTTTAATTACTTCTACGGCTAGGTCTACCGTCCACACTAATCCGTCACGAAAACGGAGCTTTTCGAAAACGCCCTTTTTTCAAACCGGAGGAATTTGAAAACGCTGGTTTTTCGTTTTGATGGAAAACATTTTGAAAACGTACGGAGATTTTCGAAAACGATGGCGCTCGAGTTTTCCTCAAACACAACGACCGGTAACTCACGTTACGTCAGTTTTTCATTAATCCGGCTTATTATATGGCTAGCTCCGTGAGCGGGCAAGATGAATCAAATCCTGCGCTGTGATTGGCTACCCGAGCGGGCAAGATGGAGCTATCTTGCCCACTCGGGACTACCCGCCGCCTCCCGCAAGATAAATTTCCCCGAAAGCCATATAATAAATCCTTTATTGACCAAGCTTGTTCGGCCAAGGTGGCTGGATATTGGCCTCGTTCTTTTTTTGCATGTTTATGGACCTCGACTCCGTCTCGGTCCATAAACACGCATAAAAAGAACTTGGCCAATATCCAGCCATCTTGACCTCACACTTGGTCAATAACCCATATGTAGTGTAGACTGAAAACATTTCATGCGTAGTGTAGAGGGAAAACATCACCAGCTTCACTGTGTCGGCAAGACAGCCAAAGAGGTCGAGAACATTATTAAGACGAGGGAAAGGTGGTCTCAAAATGCTATGATGGCAATCTCCTCCGAGGGAACTTCTTTAAGTACCAGGTGATAAGTTTCGGCCCGAAAAAACAAATACAAACAACTGAACATTAAGATGGATTCTACCACTGAACAACATTCCAAAATAAAGCTACTGGAAGTGATAATTGATGACAAGTTATCTTTTATGGGGTACGTGAGCAACGTATGTAGAAAGGCGTCAGGGCAAGTAGGTGTCATATCGCGCACATGGAACATGATTCCAACAAAAGCCAAACTTGAGACCTATAAATCAACAACACCGGCCACACCTGATCTATTGTCAAACGGTATGGCATTTTTGTTGCTCATCCCACGCACGCAAAGTGGAACACGTACGGCTCAGGAACAAGGATTACGTGCAGTTTACTGTAGCAAGAGCGCCACGTATGAGGAATTAACTATATAGAGCTTTTGCAACTGGCCAGACTACCTACTCTACGCAACCGTCAGACTACAGGAAATCGCCATAATTATCTATAAGGTCAAAAACAATATCCCCCTTCCTAGATCCTATATAGCTGAACTGTTTAACAGGTTTTTGTCAATTCTATTCATTGCTGTAATATAAACTACATTTTGCTTCCTTTTTTCTACGATTTTAATACAATTGTTATAATTAACAAATAGTTTTGTGCCGTAAATATTTTAGTGAAGAATTTTAATGAGCCCAATGAAATTATTATTTATTATTATTATTGTTATTATCAGTTATTATTATCTTATTATTATTATTGTTATTATTATTGTTATCATTATTTTTATTATTATAGTGGAATGTGTGAAGATTTGTATATAGGTTTTCTGAGGAGATTTCAATAAAGTTCTTGTTATTATTATTATTATTATTATTATTATTATTATTATTAATCGTTTTCAGAGCGAAACTTCCGTTTTCAAATTCCTCCGGCGTTTTCTTTTCTTTTCTATTTTTGTTTAAATTATTTCTTATGTGGAGGCTGAGTAGCTTGCGAGAGCATTCGTATTTTTCGGCTTTTGGTTTTGGCGCGGGAAACAGGAGCTCAAAAAACCGGATACTCTCGAGCGGCCATTGACGGGAGCCGGGGTCAAACGGTATTTAACTTCCCCCCCCCCAAACATATCTCCTTTCTAACATGATGCAAGTGATCACCTTATATTTGACCTTAAGGCATCCCACACGTGACTTCTTTTTGGACCGTTTTTGTCCTTTAATTTGAGCCTTTTGCGTCGCTCGTGTTGTAAGTTAGAGCAACAAAGCACTGTTATGTGGCTAACAAATGGAAAACAAGCATCAAAGTTGTTCATCCCTGAGGTAAAAGCGTTAATTTCTGGCCGATCGATTCCTGTACTGAGTACCACACGGCGACTGTCACAGCCTGTGCGGCCAGTGAGTGATGATTCACCCCCGAGGTTAGTCGCATCGTCCATTGTGGCGTGACGTTTGTAGTATCGTTCTTGTAGTCCCTGCACTATATACAGCAAAGCTCTTTGTTTGAGGGTGCCCATGGGGTTAACAGTTTATCATATGGTGATGGTTTTTCTTTTCTTTTTTTTTTTTCATCGTATAAACTACAAAATACTAACTGACTTTTTAGTGTCGGTATGCGGTACTTAAACGGCTTGCTGACTTTCCAGGACAATTGACAACATTTTTGGGGTACAAATGTAAATTTTAGTAAACTCTGACTTGTTCTAACACTTCTGGAAACCCTTTGCACTGTCATATTTCGTCTGCTGTGTGTGACCTTGATTCGGTCTTATCTCGTGACATGCTCTGAGCCCGTGCTCTGTCTGCGGCTTTATAGTTACGAGTTCCACGCTTCTCTCTTCGCTTGTTTGCAAACATGGCAGCCATACTGAGTAATAATGTAATTGCTTTTTACCGAAGTTCCTCGAGGTTCTCGAACGTTTTCGTTCAAGATCAGAATTTCTTTTCGACGTAACTTCGGCAGATACAATAACTTCAAACGAATAGTATCGAATGATAATACAGATTAACGGACTGATCTCCTTTTTTTGCTGTTTAATTTATTGACTATAACCATTATTTCTAACATTATTAGCTCCTGTTCTGACTTAATGACTTTTTTTAGCTACTGACTAGAGCTGTACCCCATTAACACCCTGTTATATAGCATGTCTACTTTTACTGATGAAGGTAATCGACTTAGGCCATATGTCCTATAAATTTTATGTTTTCCCGGCTGGAAATGACATCTTAGGCCTGGCTCTTTACGTGTCTTTATATCCTCCGCTCGCTAAGTCACTCGGGGAGAGAGACGTCGTCTCTCTCCCCGAGTGACTAAGCGAGCGGAGGAGGCAAACTTGCGGCAGGACGCACGTTCGTTCACTCGTTCACAGAGTTTTCGGGAAGCGGACGAAACAACGGGGGGAGGGGAGTTCCCGCTTCCCGTATCCGTTTCTTCCAGTTCTCGCCCCCGGCCGGCTCCTCCTCCCTGGTTCCCGCCTCTTTACTCTTTTCACATTGCAAAATATAACGCCATTTTCCTAGCTCAGTCTCAAAGTTGCCGTCACTTTGGGAATCCCGCTTTCCACAGTTTTCTCTCCCCGCTAGCTTTGCCCAGGCCCGGATCTCTGCTCCCTGCCCCACTAGTCCACAGTCATTCTCGTCCCCATGGCCCAGAGGCCGCGCTCCTTTTGGTCAGCACCAAGAATCGCGACTTCTAGCCGCACCCGATTTTCTGAGCATGCGCAGAGTATTTGTTTCGTATTCCCAGCTAGTCATATTTGTCAGATTTGCCAGATTTACGGGAATTTCGTGAATCGCGGAATTCTGGTGTTGGACCAGCCCAGAGCTGGTCGCGATTCTTGGTGCTGACCAAAAGGAGCGCAGCCTCTGGGGATGAGAATGGTCTATAATGAGCTCAAAAGCCGGCTGAAAGCTGAAATAAAAGCTCTATTTTCAGCGCAAATTACAAGTTTAAGCAGAGTTACTGTCATGGGTCCTCTGAGAAGCCCCTCCTGGGGGCAACTATTGGCCAGTTGTTTGATCAGACGGTAGAGAAGTTCCCGGATAGAGAGGCATATGTTTTCTGCGAGGACGGTCAGCGTGCAACTTTTTCACAGTTCAAACTGGAGGTATGACGTTATGAAAGCAATTTTACTTTATAAAATTTTAGGAAACAGTCTTAAGTAGTTTTTAGCAGTCATTTGGGTTTTGTTTTATTAATCAGGCTATACACATCTGAACCCTAAACAACTTTTGGCCCTGTTTTTGGTATGATAAACGTCGATACAAGAGGGGTAATCTCACTGAAGTGGATTCCATATTTAGTAGTTCACATATATCTTGGTTACATCTCCTTTTCTATCATACACCTGAAGAATACAAGTGAATATATAAAACATCATATATTTGGACTGTGGAGAAAGATACGAAGACATGATTGATCATGGCAGTTATACACACAACTTGCAATTGTGAAATTAAAGCCTGAAAAAAATTCAGGCCTGATACGGAATTAGAACCCATGAGCTCTGCGATGATGGTGCAGTGCTCTACCAACTGAGCTATCAAGCTACCTGGGAGCTGGTCACGTTGTGAGTTCACAATATACCGGTAGATGGTAAAGATACAAAAATGAATATGTGAAAGATCGTATATTGAAACTGCAGAGAAAGATATGAAGACATGATTGACCATTGATCATACTGTGATGACAGGAGCCATGGCTCCTGGTGTTCGATGATCAATCATGTCTTCATACAACGGAAAAACTAAACTATACGTAATTCGCTAATGCCACTGAGTAGCGATTAATAAAATCCCAAAGTATTTCCATTAGAAACTCTGATCTGTGGCGAATATCAGTAACAACATTAATTCGCAAAGTAAGCAAACTTTTCCAGGTTGATGCACTTGCCGAGGGACTGGTCTCCAGAAGACTGACAAAGGGTGACCGGTTGGGGATCTGGGCACCAAATATCAGAGAATGGATCATAACACAGCTTGCTGCAGCTCAAACTGGACTCATATTAGTAAGTGCTTTTATACACTTGTAGCGTATATACTTAAAGATGTCGGCCACAAAATGTAACAGGTTTACTTTGGGGCCTAAAATCGCAGTAACCTAACATGACATGAAGTGAACTGAAGTCACCTTTTTCAAAATTGACAGGAAAATCGTGCATCCTTAGATCTTAGGTGACTTCAGACAATTTTGGGGTTTTAGTTTAGATGATCTAAAGCGTTCCTGGAGACTAAACCAACTTTAGATCCGGGTGCGAGCCAGGATTTTTCAAAGGGGGTTTGCACTCTGTCAAAATGGGGGTACTCACCCACCGGTTGTGGGTTGTTTGCTTAAAAAGGTTTACAAAAGGGGCGTCACGGGCACCCCAGGACTCCCCTTGCTACGCCCCTGAGATCCCAGACAAAGCCTCATGGAAATACAGTTTTCTGTCATGAGACATCATATGGAGTGGCCATACTTGCTACCAGCATGTTACCAAAGAAAAACGAAACTGACAAAAAAGTGAGCAAAGATGGTTGTCAACGACGGGACGTTAATGCGGCAGTTTTTTCTGTTCTCAGGTTGGTTTAAATACTGCATATCAAGGAACAGAGGCAGAGTATGTATTAAAAAAGGTTAGTAGTGTCGGTAGGAATAGATTTCTGATGTACGATATTTGTAGTTGACCCTTTGTTAGTTTACTGTAACAAGCTTCTGCCGCTTACTCGGATGAAGCGTCATAGGTCTGAACCGAAAAGTTACCTCCTTTTACTATACGAGGCTCCAGTTAGGTCCTTGAAATGTCTGAGTCTAATTGGTTGCCTTTTGCGTGCCAAAAGGAACTTAGTCTTGCCCAAGACCACGACACAATGTTCCCGGCCAGGGCTCAAACCCGGAGCACTCTATCCGGAGACGAGCACACTAACCATGAGGCCACCACGCCTCCCACCGAAAAAGTATTAACCACTTAGAACACCTGAATTTTTTTCCTTAGGTCTCAGCCGAGGCTCTTCACCAGGTGTGGCGGTTGTTAACTTCAAGCCTGACATGTTCAGTTTCTTGAACATTACCAGTCTTGGTTCTGACCTAGTCGATGACAACATCGACTGCGGATTTACTTGTTTAGAAATTCTGTCGTGTTTTTCATATAACGTGGCTGCATTCCCTGATATCAACGGAAAATTTTTGTGTGAACTGCTCCCATCTGACAAGTTCAACAACTCGGACAATTTTACCGGCAGTCCGTTTTACGATCACTTCAGTATTCCCGACAAAAGGAAATCAAGTGCGATCATGTTCCGCGTGCAGAGAACGTCTGTTTGGCTGTTTACCTAGAAACCGTTGCGACAATTTTGTTCCCAGAGTCCGCGCTCTCTAGGAAAGAGATATCCTTCACCGCTGATCACTATTAACCAATTGTTGACTTTGTAAATTTTTCAGCCAATCGAGCGAAGGACCAAAGAACTCCACGTTCAATTATCGATAGGTGGCACCATGAATATTTGTAAAGAATTGAGGTAAAAAACACCAATACGCAAGAGGAGTACGGTGCATTCTATTTTGAAATATTATTTTTTCATTAATAGGCAGGCTGTAAAGCTTTGGTAATAGTTGATGAATTCAGAACACAAAACTATTACAACACAATGACGAAGATGATACCTGAGCTTTCGGAGGCGAAACCTGGAGAACTTCAAAGCGAAAGGTGGTAAACCATAGTTAAAATTTTTGAAATAAACAGAGATTTTCGCTCGGTTACCTACTATTGACTAGCAGAGGCAACACGTGGATACTTCCACAGCTATTCTGAGTTCTTCAAAACATTTATAGTGTTTCCATAACTCTGTGGGTTAACGGGGGAAGAAAGTTTTCAATTCCGACAAAACGCAAGAAATAAATTTCCTGTAGCTGTCGAGTCGTGAGATAAACGGCTTTCAACCAATCACAGCTTGCGTAGTATCTCGCCCATTTCATCGCAGCTACCGCTCAGTGGCTCAAGCCCCGTCCACACTACACCGAAAGAATTTGAAAACGGTGTTCTCGCTCTGAAAACGTATCAAATGTTTTCCGTCCACACTACACCGGAGGAATTTAAAAAAGCAACAAAAAGGGGTCATTTTGGATTTGTGTTTGAGGAAAACTCGGTCAGGGAAATTGCGTGATTATCGAGATTACATCGTTTTCGAAAAGCGCCGTTAAAAAAAAATGTTTACCTCCTACACTAAAACTCAAAGCCGGCGTTTTCAAATTCCTTGGGTTTGAAGAGCGTTAGCGTAGACGGTAGGCTTAACCGTAGAAATAGAGCTGCGTTTTAAAATTTCTCCTACGTATTGTGGGCGCTGCCTCAGTGGGATGTAATGAAAGACGTGGTTTATTCTGGGTTCATTATGGTATTGTACGTATAAATTAACTGACTAATCTCTTTCTCTCTTCCTATTGTGAATCAGATTGCCAGAACTAAAAGATGTCTTCGTTGTGAGCAAAAGCAAACAATTATGCAGGTAGTTCGTTTACTCCAGTTCACACTCCTAGCTTACACTAACTACTCGATCATGCTTGAGTAGACTCGTACCCAGTCGCTATCTATGTATTTCTGAAGAGAGACGACTGGACGCGAGAGTGGATGGAAGTGTGCGGGATTCCATTCGATGAAGTTTCGCTGCTAAGACGATCGACGTGGCCGATTTGGCCCAGTATAATAGAAAATAAAGCTGCTTTTACTGAAATTTGCCACAATTTCTTCAGTATCATGATTTAATCCCTGCTATGATCATTTGTTTCCACTTCTTTATTTATAACATAGAGGAACTACTTCGTTTGAGGAGTTGATGAGTTCTGGAGGTGAAGAAGCGAAGCAGCAGACGATGAATCTCAAACGCACTCTGCAGTTTGATGAACCAGCTTGTCTTCAGTTCACATCGGTAAGCTAAAGCGGATATATTGAATCACGGAAGCGAGTTATCTTAAGCTTAGGCCTCGTTCAGGACGGAAATTCTTGCTATTCGAAAAAGAGAATTGGAAACTATTAGGTACTACAGTCAAACCTCCACTAACGGCCACTTTCTTTGGTCCTGGTGAACACTCCATACATTCACTCTTATTTAACCCCTCTACAACGGCAACGGCCACTATAGTCTGAATTTCAGCCGTCTCTTCCCTTTACCCTCCAGGGGCGCGCGGGAGAGTCTCTCTCCCGCGCCCCCTCGCGGGTTAAGGGTAGAGACGGATGAAATTCAGACTACGGCCACTAAAACTCGTCCCAAGCGCCAAAATAACCACTCGACAATGGCCAGCTAATCAACGACTGACGAACGGTGTATACAAAACCCCATCAGTATTTATTGTGAAAGGTCACAAAACGTATATCCGTACAGCGCGTCATCCTTTTTAATGGAAATGCAACCGCGGTAACATAATAATAAAAAAAAAAACAGGTGGAAAATGGTCGAGAACGATATCGCACGGCTGTATTTCCAGCCTAATTATACGAAGAGTTTTCTGTTAACTCTGCTTTCCCTTCGTGATTACATCGTATTTTCAATTTTCCTTTCTTTTCGTTTCCAGGGTACCACAGGGCGTCCTAAAGGAGTAACGCTAACCCATCACTCTTTAGTGAATAACGCAGTTCTGATTGGACAGATCATGAACTACAGCGAGGTAAGGCGTAATGCAACATTCTCTGTTGCTGACATGCATTGCTCCAATTACTTAATTATTTCCTTTTTTAGCCCAAGACTCTGGTATGATGACTCGCGAAAACGACAGAACATGACACAAACAACACAAACAGAGTCGTAACCAGACAACAGCCAAACTAAGGCACTTCCATCAGTCACTGTTTTCGTATTTTGTTGTTTATAGTCATCATAAACAGCCTCATAACTTAGGAGAAGAATTTAACCATGGACACTGCCTCAGTCATAATTTTTCATGGACTTTACCCCAGTCATAATTTTTCTGGCTACGGCCCTGACAAAAACAACAACAACAACAAAAATCATAGCAAACATCACAAAACACACCCAAACACAACACAACAAACAAAACAGACCAAAAACACAACAAATCACAACACAATAAAACACAGTAAAACACAACATATCAAAACGCCAGAAAAAAAAACAACAACAAAACGCAACAAAACACAAAACAAACAGAACAGAACACAAAAAAAACTCCACAAAACACCACAAAAAAAGTTCTACAAAATACAGGGCAAGAAAACACGACTAAACACAACACAACAAAAGACCAAAAAACACAAGGGAAATAAATACATAGAGGATAATACACGGTGCCGAGAAGATATGAATTTTATGTTCGAGTGGCAAGAACATAAAATTCATATCTTCGAGCCAACGTGTAATGNAAAGGTGACATACGGAAAATACGCCACTCGGGTCCCGGATGAAGTGGCGCATGGAATCTACGAGTGGTTTAGTTCCCAGTAAAACACTCTTCTCCATATAATGAAATGAATTATAACAGCTATAAAACAGGTAAAAGAGTATCCCGTTGTCATGTTAGTTTTGAAGACTTCTAACATTTCTTACTTCTCATATATACAGCCAACAAGAATGTGTAGCCCATTCCCTCTCTTCCACATTGCTGGTGTCCTGGCAACCAGGTTAATTCTTGTTTGTATATTTGTTAATAAATCAGCCTATTTTTCGATTGATTTCCCATGCAGTGTGAACTGACTATTATTTACTCTGACTTAAAAAGACAAAATAAAGACATTTATAATTGCAAACTTAAAATAGATTAATTAAGAACGTAAATAAACTTCTTTCCTTCAATTTTAGCTTGGTCAGCGTAGCGTGGGGTGTCCCTGTTGTTTACCCGTCTCCCGGATACAACAGCACTGCTATTCTGAAGGCGATACACAACGAAAAGTAAGTTTTTCTCTTAAAAAAAGGTCTAACGATTCGGTAAGTGCTTCTCTTTTTGTCCCACCGTGAAGGTTCTAAGGTTTATAACCAATCTCGAGTTCTATAAGATCGCATTGTCTAGAATCAAGAGCGAGTGGTGTAATTGGTTAAAATAGACATTCCTTGTTCTTTTTGCTTGATACGTACAATCTAGGTATCACTTATTCCAACGTAACTGTTATCATGTTTTAATCCTTGATTACTGCAACCCATGAGATCAAGTGGAGAACTGGACTGAATGCCAGTCACCTCATCCGTTTATCTTTCAGATGTGACTGTATATTAGGAACTCCTCCAATGTTTATTGATATGCTTGCCCATCCAGATTTGAAGAAGTACGACTTGTCAACCTTAAGAAAAGGTAACGGCATTTGTACTTATCTTGGCTCTCAGAGAATTATTTAAGGCTGAGGCCACAAAAATATGCAATAATTTTTGAAGTTATTTGTAACCAAGGCCCCGTCTACCGACACTAGGTCAGAGCAAGTTGAAAACACAGCTTTATTTCTACAGTAACGCTTACCGTCCACACTAATCCGGAGAGAAATCGAAGCTTTCCGAAAACGCTCTTCATACTGGAGGAAATTGAAAACGCCGGCTTTGCGTTTTAGTGTGGACTTAAAGCATTTTGGAAACAAGGGTTTTCGAAAAAGACGACGTCTTCACTGATAACTATATGATTAACCCTAACCTGGTGATTGTTGTGTTTTTTAAATTTCTCCGGAGTTAGTGAGCAAGGAAAACATTGAAAGCGTTTTCTGAGTGAAAACACCGTTTTCAAATTTCTTCGGCGTAGTGTGGATGGGGCCCAAGTGAGAATTTCGTTATTTCAAAAGTGTGAATTGAATAAAACATGTGTAGGGAACATGTGTGGGGAGGATCTGATTTGAAAGGTGATTTTTTTTAACCTGTAGGCCTAACTGGCGCTACGTCCTGTCCCGTTGAAGTGATGGAACAAGTGATTTCAAAGTTGAACGTAACTCAATTGACGGTAAAGTTAATTTACCAGTGTTTCTTTCTGAAGTTTCCAAAGGTATTCGCCATAAAATCATCATTTCTTGAAGGGAGTAGAGGAGCCATCTGACATCTTGGACAGCGTTTCACAGCCAAAGTCTATCTGGCTTTAAAATTCCGGTTCGTTGACAATTTCTTGAATAATGAAACAGTTATCCTGCTCAGTCTTACGGAATATCGTCTGATTTTAGCCAACTCGCGGCTAAGTAGGCGATATGGTGTATTCTGTACGATTCCGAAGGATAATAATTAAATATACGAAGCCATTATTTAGGACATGGAGAAAATCGCCTTCAAATCAACGGAAAGTTCAATATTAATAATAATTTACTAAGGTAGGAAACTGCTAAAAGGGATATATAGTCCCCAAGGGAATTAAGGTTGGAGAAGACTGAATTTTTTTTTTCAAAGGATTATGTATAACGAACTTGAAAACGTTAGGTTTAATAAGTAAGATGGCATGTTGTGGTCCAATGTTTTCTTTTCTCCAGCTGGCTTATGGTTTGACAGAAGCCTCCTCGCTTGTTACTCATACGCCATTGGACGAACCTCTGGAAACAAAAGTGTCGACCGTAGGAAAGGTGTACCCGCACACAGAGGTAAGGATTGCCGACATGAGCCTTCACAAGGAATAGAGGAAAAGGTACGCAGCAACTAACAAGTAGGCTGAGTGTCAGGCGTTTATTTTCAAAAGCACGCGAAAGAAAAGAAATTACGCCAGCTAAACCCGCTCTCCCTTCCCCTCCTTGTTTTGCTCATCCCGAACCCACTTCTCCCCATTTTTTGCTCGCCCTAGGCGCACTCGTTTGCTCGATCTCTCCGCGCGTTTGGAAAATGGAAAAGAAACGTCTGCCATGCAGGCTACTAACAAGTAGTTTTCCGAGCTCTTTGCGAGATTGACAGGCCATGAACAACTTATCTACTAATTGGTTAAGATGTCTGCAGGTGTGCCATCATTTGTACAGCTAACAGCTCGCGGAAAAATAGATTTTAAACCCAATCGAAATGCATTTTGGAACTAACCACTCTGAGCTCAATTCGCACGCAAAGTTTCAGGGAAATCTGTTTTCTGACCCAAATGGGTTTGAAGTCTTACAAAGACAATCTATTTAATTTTTATTACATTTGCCTTTATGCGAAAGTACACCTGAGACTGAGGGAAGGCCATCTGAAGTATTATTCCATTCTTTTCAACAGATAAAGATCGTGGACCACGAGGGAAATATAGTGCCGGTGAATACTCCTGGGGAAATATGCATCCGAGGATATGGTGTCATGATTGGGTATTGGGGAGAGAAGGAGCAGACTGAAAGTGCTCTGGAGCCAACAGGATGGCTTCATTCTGGGTGATATACCGTAAATTCTCATATTTAAGCCCCTCCGGTTGTAAGCCCCCCCTGGATATAAGTCCTTCTACTTGAAACAAAGACATTATTCCGGATATAAGCCCCCCCGGATATAAGCCCATCTACTGTTTAAGTGTGTTCCTTTTGCGTTCTATAAATGCATTATAAATGTAATAGCTCTATTTTTAATTCCTTTCTCAGATACGTTTTATCTCGTCTTTCCGAAACATTTTTTGTACTCTGCTTATATCCCCGCCCCCCAGATATGTAAGTCCCCCGTTTATAAGTCCACCCAAAACCCCTTACGAATTTATATAAGCCCAGGGCTTTAACGTGGGAATATACGGTAGATTCCGTGATTTGTATGATTAGGTGAGCTCATGTTGAAGCTTGTCTACTGCTTCCTTCGTCTTTGTGTCATGTTAAAATCTAGCCAGGATTTTGCATGAAATTGAAGCTTTGACTCAAATAAGTACATTTGTAATACAGATATATTAATTTGAAGAAAGAATGGCCCCCTAGTTCAGCGACTGAGATAAATATGGTAATAAACAAAATCAGAGTTCTATGTAAAATCATGCAAACATGTATAAGGTAATTGGTATTGGCTTAAAAGTCTTGACTAGCCACAAAGGCGTTAAGTTTGTATGCTCTGATTAGCGAGTAAATTGAAATGAATTGAAAAGCCAATGGGGCTAATTACGCTAATTACCCAAAACTATCGGGACCTTATCTCGGAGTCTCGAGGTGTCCATATCATACTCTCTCCCCCCCTCCCCCCCCTGGAAGGGATGCCTGTCCATTGCGGGGTTAACCCCAGCATTAAATTTACCGGTACCCATTTATACACCTGGGTAGAGAGAGGCACCGTGAGAGTAAAGTGTTTTGCCCAAGAACACAACACAAAGTCCTCGGCCAGGGCTTGAACGCGCACCGCTCAATTCGGAGTGAAACGCACTAACCATGAGGCCACCGCCCCTCGCAAACGAATTCTGACTCTTAACTATCAAATTGCCGTCCATTTATTTACTACAGTGATCTAGGGACAATGGACGAACATGGATACTTCAGGATTGTGGGAAGATTAAAGGTATGTTGTAAACTGATGTACCAGGCTTCCAGCACATGCATTGACAATCTCTTCACCAGGGCCCCCGAAGAATGGGCTGATCATCCCGAGAATAGCCTGGGGACAAGGCTTAGCCCAACAAAGTCTTATCGTCCTTAGAGTCACGTATCCCGGGAAAAGGGGTAAAAAAAAATAGGTAATCTATCTTCGTAGTTCAGTTGTATACAGCTGACAAAGGGTTGCAAGGGCAACAACCTAATTAAGAGGAAAAATAAAACACATTTCTAATGCTGAAATCGTTGACAAAATGCTGTAATTGCAAGCGACGATTTATTAACTTGAAAAGAATACTTTCAACAGGACTTAATCTCGCGTGGAGGACAGAGCGTCTATCCGGCTGAAGTTGAATATTTCCTGCACACCCACCCTAAAATACAAGATGTGCAGGTAGGTAACTACAACAAAAATTTAAATCTGTCGAAGTCAGGCTGCAAGTGTTAAAATTAAAAATTAAAATTGATGAGAACAACAAAGTGAAATACAGCCAAGGCTTTCTAATTAAGTAACTACCACTAGAATTCTGAAAGTGGTCTTGACAGCTGGGTGCTTATGAGACGGGTAACGAGGGGGCTCTAACTGTATTGCTTAGCTGTTTACTGAAGAAAATCTGGGACGCATTTCCCTTGCGTTCATCATGCAATTTGTTTTTTGATTACTACAGGTAATCAGTGTGCCAGACGAGAGACTTGGAGAAGAAGTGTGTGCTTGGATCAAGTAAGTGGACTCTTCATATCCCTTCTAAGGTCACGCCTACTGATCATGACAGAGCAATGGGTGTGATTGTTTCTTCGTGAAATGTCTTCTTGGGTTTCTCTACAGGCTTAGGCAAGGTGAAACCATGACTGCTGGAAACGTTAAAGATTTCTGCACAGGCCAGGTGAGGTTCTTGTTGCAGTGACGCACTCTGTACTGCAGGAGAGGATTAGATCACTTTTCTAACTCATAAATAACGCATCGAGTTTAAACGAAGTAGTCATAACCGTGACGGTGTTTGGATATCTGATCTTGACTAGTATAGTGTAGATGTTTACGAATTCATTTCTCCGTTTTCTTCTTGGTTTTAGTTTTCAATTGAAAAGATATATCAAACACTCAAGACAGTGTTTGACCACATTTCCAAACACCTCAAAGTTCGTCAAAAATACTTTGCTGCGTGTCGTATTTTCCACTCTCTTCTCGAAGTTAGTTTGGAAATGTGGCCAAATGCGGTCTTTCGTGTGTTTGATATATTACGTCAAAGTGATCCTTGCAACAAATCTAAGTCAAAGTCTCTCGCAACTTTTCGCACTCTTTCTCGGCTAATTTAATATTTCTCTCTAAGTCTCCGAATGAATCGCGCCATAATAAGTGCTATAACTAATAACTAATGAAGACTTTTAAAAGAGTTAGCGAAACGTCTTGCTAAAATATACAAGTCAGTGACAAAAAAACGGCACTGTTATCAACTAATAACCTTGCTCAGTTGGTTTCATTTCTATATTCAGCTTATAAATCCACTATGAAAGCGATCTAATTTGACACTGTTTATCTTTCAATAGATTGCCTATTTCAAGATTCCTCGGTACATTAAATTTGTTGACGATTATCCCATGACAGCTTCTGGAAAGGTAATTTTGTAGTCGTCGTATTTTTTTTCTTGGAAAACTAATCAGTTTGAATCAATACAGCCGAACTGCCCCTGATTAAACAGAGTTGTTATTATTCAAAAGCGTAGTGCTGTTTAATTGTTTATATCTCGTCTTACCTTGCTAGGGCAGTAACTTGTTTTGCATCAGCTGCGCTACATGATTGGCTTAAAAACCTCGCGCCACTTTTTCATCCAGTCAGAAGCAAAGCCAAAACCAATCGTGTCTCGCTCGCACACGTTTTCCCGCGCTTCGCGTCAGCTACATGAAACTACTTCGAGTTTTGATTGGTTCACTGTATTGTCTGTGTCCTTTGTGATTGGCTAGAGTGATTACTTTGATTTTGGTTTCACAACACTCAATTGAAAACCGCTCTAATATTTTGATCAATTTCTTTTCCCAGGTTATGAAATACGTCATAAGGCAGCAAGCAGCGAGCGAGTACAAATCATATTTTAATTTGAAGTAAAATGCAAAGCGGAAGGTGAAATCGTTTTAATATATCATCAACAAGGCGTGGATTATCCCCTCAAACAATATATTATAAATTGTGAACTAGATTACATTTGGTTTTGTACAAAGTAAAAATTTCATGGTAGATAGCTCTTTTTAAAATAGTCCTCCAAACAGTTTCCTCACTTACGAAAAAAGATTTCATTGTTCATTTTATTAATTAATAAAATATGTACAGTTTAAAATGAATTTCGTGGACTGTCATTCATATAAATTCTTGATATAGGAAAGGTTTCATCTCCGCTTGTGGGGTGATGTATGGGTGGAGAACAATGCCTTGACACGTGACCAGACCTCGTAGTCCTGTCCCACCCCTCCCTTGTGATTCAGGCGGCATCTACATTCCAGGTACTATGGGAATGTGTATCGTGGTCCAGCTATCGTTAAGAGTAAAATCATCGTTTTAGTTGTGTACTAAAACGAATAATCGGGGAAGCCCTTTGTTCTTCCTTAAAGATTCAGTTCTTGCTTCGTTTTCTCTCTCATGACAAACTTCTTCACCTGACAACCAGTCAAAAAGATTCAGGTCATTACTACATCATACGCATCAAAGGTAGAAAAAGCGCGAGACTTATCTGGAACCCAGATCTCCCACGGCCTTTTCAGCATCAAAACGAGTAGGATCTGGGTAGGAGATTAGCGCGAGGCAGGAGCATCCAAAAATACTTGCCGTATACGCTCTACTTAACCTGATCCAAGCGCTCGGTTAGTTGCGTAGTAGCTTGAAAAGGGCAAGTGCAAAAACGGGGCATGAGTGGGTAACAAACTAAACGGCTGGAACAGCCTGCACTTTGCTCGCTAAAATGCCTGTTATGCAAGTTAGGTAAAGACAGTTCATTGACGTCACTGATGAGTTTTCAACAAAACTACAGCAACTTTTACAAACAAAATAAACTTAAGCTCGTCTTCTTTCCAGGCACTTTATACAGCTTGTCTCGCTCATTGTCAAAATATGGCTACTTTAGAACTGCAAAACGGTGCAACTGTGTTTCAAAATTCGTCACAAATGATATCAGTTATTTTTAAAGGGAAAAACACTACCATTTACCATTTATGTAATTACCTTTCCAGTCACAGTGAGAGGAAATTCATCAGTGAACTTAATATAACGAGGAATTTTAAAATGAGCAATCTGAAAATGAATACAGAACATTACATCAGCTAATAAGGTTAAAGAAAGCCATCCACGATTCCAAATCAAATTCCGTCCACAACCTCACCTGTCCTTCACAGAACTCTTTGATTTCCTCCGGTGTCGCTGATTCACCTGAGTGTAATCTGAAATGGAACGTTCAGCAATTGTATTTCAAAATCGACCACGTCGTAGTGATTGAAGAAGAAAGTTGTTTAAAAACGTAACTACAGCAAACTGGGACGTTTGCCGCGAAATCGGTGTCACCAACCAAAAAACCGTGATGAAATAACTCTGGTCGTGCCTTCTAATAGGATTTCAGTGAGTCCAGGTGCATATTAATAACTGAGAAGAGAACTGAAAAAAGCTCTTACTTGATCCACGCACAAACTTCTTCTCCTAATCGAGGATCAGGAACACCGATAACCTAAAACAAGACCAAATGACGATGACAAATAATTCTTTTCTGTTTCCCATCAAGTGGCGATTGCAATTCCAAACTCTAACTATTTCACGATACACAGAATTGTGAGAATGCAAGTGAATATTTGAAAGATCATATATTTGAACTGCGGAGAAAGATAGGAAGACGTCAATGATCAACGCAGTTATACACAACTTTAGAAGCTGTGAAATTAATGCTTGAAAAAACATTAAGGCCTGAGCGGGATTCGAACCCAAGCCGTTGCAGTGCTCTACCAACTGTGCTATCAAGCCATCTGGGAGCTGGTCACATTGTGAGTTCAGAATTGCGTAATTACGAGAAGTTCAGAAAACCAACCAGAAGAACTTGCAAGACATTGCTTTCGACCGAGAAAAAAATACCGTAGTGTATATTTTACTGTTACACTCGGTATTACAACAACCCGTTACAGTTCAAATGCACGCTGGGAAGACACTATAATTTAACACTGTAACGCTGTCCAGCCTCGCCCTAGGGGCGGGAAGAAGAGGGACCCTGGGAACGAGGTTGAACGCTGACTTGTGTAACAGCGGCTCAGACAATGTTATGCATGATGACGTCAAAAGACCAAGAGAGGAAACATCTACCTGTACATCTTGTATCTTGGGATGCTTGTACAGGAATTGTTCCACTTCTGTTGGATAAATGTTTTCTCCTCCGCGAATGATTAGATCCTTTAGGAAAACACAAATTTAAAATCTCACTAACAAGATTTCAGCAACAGGGGGATAACTCAGCAGATTAAGAGGGGTGGTGGTAGTGGCAAAGCTTGAAAGCTTACCTTTATTCTCCCAATGATCTTCACATATCCGTTCTCGTCCATTGTCGCTATATCCCTTCAAAATACAACAAGAAAATGAAAGTATTTACAAGAACTTGTAAGTCTTTTAAACCTTGTTTCTTGTAAAACAAATATCTGACTAGGAGATAACGTATTGCTATATATCATGAAGCACTTACCCGGTGCGTAACCAACCGCTGGGATCAATGCAGGCGTCAGTCTTTTCCTTATCTTCCCAGTATCCCAGCATGACGTTGTATCCTCGAAAGCAAATCTCCCCGGCAGTGTTGATGGGTACAACACGACCGTGACTATCCACGATTTTCGCCTACAGTGGGAAATGTAATTTTCAAACTCATTAATAGTTCATCAAGTTTCACAAAGGAAATCAAGACCGTGATGGTGTTTGGATATCTGGATCTTGATTAACACAGATGTTTACGATTTTTATTCTACGTATTCTCCTTACTTTTCAAACACCTTGAAGTTCGTCAAAAATACTCCGTTGCGCGTCGTATTTTCAACTCTCTTTTCGGTGTTTGGAAATGTGGTCAAACACGGTCTTTCGTGTTTGATGTGTTACATCAAATCATGAGTCGCGTGAAGAGTCTCATAATACACAAAGCCATAAGCATAGAGCTCATCCAGAGTATTACAAGTACTTGTAGGTCTTTTTAAGCCTTCGATCTATTATTTGAAGTAACGGAAACCACAAGCTTATAACAACGTTTTTTTTTTAGGAATCATTACGATCTTGTCTAGTTCATTGACTTTCAGAGTCCAAAACATATCGATTTTTCGATATTTTTCTCCGGCCCTGCACATACATGGTGCGATCCTTAGTACCTCATTATTGGGGTGGACTCGTCCTGTGGTTGAAACTCGCAGATCTATTGGGTCATCCATGAGTGTCTGATTGGTGATCGGACTTGTTTCGGTTAAACCATAACAGATCTGAAAACAGAAACACAATAGGTTAAGCATGAACTGTACTTAGTTTCTACGCCTCTTCATTTTACTCGGGCAGTTGGTTCGGACATGAGAGGTGCATGTGCTGATTAACAATTATATAATAAGTCAAAACATTCTCGCATTGTGATTGGTTCTTACTTATGCTCTATTGCAGGACAGACGCATAGATGACGTCATTAATAAACTTTTGTAAACAGACAGATTCCATGTTGCTGTGCGTCTGTTCAGTAATTGATCACAGATGACGTCAAAATGTGGGAAGAAAAAAAGTGTCACAACCGGCGATAGCCGTGTGTCACTGATGTTCTTTCTACAGTTTGACGTCTTCTGTGATCTATTACTGAACAGACGCACGGCAACACGAAATCTATCTGTTTTATAGTATAAATCTACTAGCGTTCTATCACGAATGGCGTTCTCTGATTGGCTACGCTACTATCTATTCTGTTTTAGATAGTGAGTAGCGTACTGTTCACTTACCGTTACTTGAGGCATGTGCAGTTTTGTCATCACTTGCTTCATCACCTCAATTGGACACGGTGAACCACCCATAATACCTGAAAAAAAAAATCATAATTTAAAGGAGCTCTGAGTCACGGTATTTTGAGCTATTTTGGCAACGAGCAGAATTACCTTTAAATTGAATGAAACCTGAAAATAATAGTTTATTAGGATAGAAAAACACTAAAGAGTTACTAATTAACCATAAAGGAACAAGGATGGTAAAGGATGGAGGAGATCAACACGGATTACCAACAACGAACTTGAAAAATTTACGCCAAAGTTTTTCAGGATGCCCAAATCGTGACCGGTAACTGGCCAGTTACGTCGCTTGAATTGATGAAAAATAGAGGAAAATATGTGTTCCAGCTTCAGCCGCTAAGACCTAACAACTTTCACAAACTAACCTGTATGTAGACTGCTGACATCAAACTTGTCTAAAGCAGGGTGATTTAAAACATCAATAAACATTGTCGGCGTACCGTACAGTGAAGTACACCTGAAAACAAGAGCAGCTAAGTATTTTTCAGCCGCTAAAAATTCGAGAGAAATCTAAAATTCCAATATTAATCCCAATTCAACACAAGTACCTGATCTTTGGTCCAGGACCGTTCTGAATACTTTATGGAGTACAATTTCACATCTTGAGCGAAGTAAGCTTAGTGACAACTTTGCACTCACATTTTAGTTAGAGTTCATTCCGTAGACTTGTTGCCAAAACTGAAGAAATCCTTCCTTTTAACAACTTCCTAATGACGGACATCGGCATAAGATTGGAACGAGCAAAGAAATTGTGTATGGGCTATTTATGTTGGCTAGGTTATTTTTTTTTTGGCGTTTCTATGGACCGAGACGTGAGCCATCTTGACTGAACAAACCTGGTCAATAAAGGATCTATTATGGCATGAGGAACTACATTTTCTGACGGGACACAAGCGGGTAATCCCGAGCCCAAAATAGCCAAGATATATAGTTTATTGACCAAGCTTGTTCAGTAAAGATGGCTAGATATTGGCCAAGTTCTTTTTTTGCGAGTTTATGGACCGAGACAGAGGCCAATATCCAGCCATCTTGACCGAACAAGCTTGGTCAATAAAGGATTTATTATATGGCTTNTTTTTTTTTTTTTTTTTTTTTTTTTTTTTTTTTTTGCGTGTTTATGGACCGAGACGGAGTCGAGGTCCATAAACACGCACAAAAAAGAACGAGGTCAGCTGGCAACATCCAGCCATCCTGATGGAACAAGCCTGGCCAATATAGGATTTATTATATGGACTCAGAAGCATGATTGACTTTGATAAACCTGCCTTAGCTTCGGAGAAAATTTTTCTTGCGGGACAAAGCGCGTAATACCGAGCAGGCAACAGAGCGCCATCTTGCCCGCTCAGATAACCAATCACATTGCGGAATTTGGTTCATCTTGCCAACTCACGGACTTAACCATACAGTCCCATCTTGCCCGGCCGCTCTGGTCGCCAATCACAGCCGAGGATTCGGTTTATCTCGCCCGCTCTCGAGGCAAGCCATATAATAAAGCAACTTACTTTTCCTGTTGAATAGCTGTCAGAACAGCTCCTGGGTCAAACCCTCGTGATGGATAAACGGATGTTGTTCCATGGATAATACTCATTAAACTAAAACAAAACGTCAGAAAAAAATAACAAAACTTCTTTGGGAAGTGTCAGGCATGCGCTGTCTGCCCACTTTCTTTTTTCCAAAGGGAAGATATTTTACAGATAATTTTATGGAAAATTGAAACACTACTTCAACACTTTGCAGCACTACTCCATGAAGATATTCATGCATCATAATTTGCCTGATTTCTCTGATTAATTGACAGTTAAGTTATTCCAAATGTCAAACTTTACCCTGCCAGACTTTTTTTTACACCATATTCCCTAAAAAGGCACCTATTAATAGTTTAACATGTAATAATATAAAAGCTCTGTTTACCTTCCAAGTGTCATCCCAAAACTGTGATAAAGTGGAACAGGGATACATATTCTGGAATCCTAAAATCAGCCATTGAAAATTCACATAATTAATGCCATTTGCATTATTTCTGTCGGTACTGCCACTACATAACCCTGTTTGTGCAGCATGAAGCGATCTTTGCTGTTCCCCTTGAATTGGACATCAGTTATTGCTGGTTTTTTCCTTGTCAGTACCTAACTTCCTGTGGGAGGTGCAGTGAACTTGTAGTTCAAGCCCTGGCCAGGGACATTGTGTTGTGTTCTTGGGCAAGACATTTTACTCTCAAAGTGCCTCTCTCCACCCAGATGTATAAATGGGTACCGGTGAATATTAAATGCTGGGGGTACACCTGTGATGGACTAGCATCCCGTCCAGGGGGGAGTGGAACTACTCCTAGCCGCTTCATGCTACAGACGCCAGGATAAGGTCCGGCCTGATGAGCCACTTGACTCGTATGCAGCTTTTATCTACAACCTACCTACCCAATATCCCAGTTATTCTCTGAGTGAATACCCTGCAAGGTAACAATATACATTACACAATTTAGAATTATCCATCACTCATGATATAAATGGAGTATTAATACCTGGTCATAATTTAAAACCTCTCCAACAAAATATGCATTGTTTAGAATTCCATGATGGGACAGTGTAGCTCCTTTTGGATTTCCAGTTGTTCCCTGAAAAGAAACACAAAGCAACAAGCACTAAGCAGACCACCTTGTTAAAGGCAAAATAATCCTTGTTTTCTTGGTAGTGGTTGTATTAACATGCTACGTTCAAATCATTATAGTAAGTTCATAGAGTAAGTGTTTCTAAAGAGTAAAGGGTCACAAAATTTAACCAGAGGGATCCCCTGAGAGAGGTGTTGTCCACTTGGTGCAGCAGTCAAGTTCAGAGAGGAGAATCAGGAAGGGAAGTCACCCCTGGCTTCTGTAGAGAGCCAACAGTCAGTGGCACTGATCCAGACCTCTTTATAAGGTGGGGCTCTAAAAGTTTTCCTCCACCTTTGAGCTTTAAATTAAGGTGGCTGAGGGCTAGCTCCAGGCCCCTTCTCTAGATCTGCCACTGTCAACTGCACCAGAGAAAAGACAATGGATGCATTTTATTGAAAAAAAATATAATGTTTAGTTAGTTTTCATTTAATTTTAACTCCTCTCATCACACATTTAGTGGCTGTATTATTTACAGCCTTATTTGCTATAGACAATAGAACAAGAGAATAGAGAAAACTTCGAAAGGTGCAAGTTGTTGATTCCACTATGGAGGTGGTATTAAAGATATAACTTACTGAAGTAAACTGAATGTTGATTGGATCGTCACTTTGAAGTTCTCTCTGTAGTTTTTGTAACTGTCTTCTCTCTTTGGCCCCTCCTGTCTGCATTAACTCTTGAAACATGATTGCACCACTGAGATTGAAGACAAAACTCATCAGGTTACCCAAGATGCCAGCCTTGGCAAAGATGTCAGCTGAGGACAATATATACAAACCTAAAATTTTGCTCATGATTCCTAGCAGCCACCACTACCAACTTCAGATCTGGAACTCTGCGGAGGTAGTGAGCAAGTCAGTCACACAAAATTGATTAAGTCAGCAATTTTTGACAGAGATTGCATGAAATTTTATTGCACAGTTCCAGAAAATATCCATACTCCAGCCACAGAAGGGTTTGGAATCCTGGGGGGTGGGGGGTTCTGTAAGACCAAAACATTTAAAGAATGTATGACGTTTAATTGAAATTTCCAGAAGGGTGGAGGGTCTTAGAAAAATTCCTTCCATGGGGGAGGTATGGATATTTTCTGGAACTACACATTATATAATAATATTGTTGGCAATAGCCCGCTTTCCTCATTTGCATTTCAATGAAGCCCAACTCGGTTGAGAGGCAATTTCAGGCAGGAACTATAAGATTCCCTAAAATTGCCTTGCATACATATTGAATTATATTGTAATCAGTAAATGAGAAAAGTTAACTGTGAAAAGGCTATTGTCTCTACAAGGGTTTCTAAGTACAAAAAAAAAAATTATTACTGTAGATGTTTCCTCTAAATGGAACTACTTTTAATAGCAAACATGTTTTAGGATCTCTATGATTATTATCAAAAACAAGCCATAGTATTATTCAACAACAAAGAAATACTTCTTGGTGGGAAACCAATTTTTTGGAGTGATTGGTTCAAGAAGGGTATTATTTCTATTAAGGACTTATTAGATGAATTAACCGGCAATTTGTTAACTTTTCAAGCTTTCTCGCTTAAATATTCATGCAAAACCAGTTTTCTACAATATTATCCAGTGCTCAGCATCATTCCTAAGCACCTCCTGTCTACAGCCAAACAACCTGACACCTTTAACAAATCGTTCTTTACCATTAAGGACAATATTTTTCTTCTGAGTGAATCAGCACAAATTAATTTTGGCACGGCAAGGTCAAGTGATTTCTATAAATTGCTTGTTTCCAAGACTCACAGCCATGTTCAAACTGGCCCCAAATGCTGGAGTGAAAATCTTTCTATAAATAAGGATTCGTGGACCAGTATTTTGAAGTCACTGAAAAACATCTGTAAGGAAACTAGGCTAAAAGAGTTTCAGTTTAACCTAATTCACAGAATCATGATAACCAGGAAAGAACTATTCATATTCAGCTTGAAAACTGATGATGAATGCCTGTATTGTGGGGGTAAGGAATCTATTGAGCACACTTTCATTGAATGCCCGTTTACAAGGTCCTTTGCAAAAAAAGTTATGCAATGGTTTAACGAAGCTAATTGTTGTCAAATCTCCCCTACCACTGAGGAACTCTTGTTCAGTATTATTCCTAGCTCTAAAGAAACAAAAAATAATCAAAAAATGTAACTACACTACCATATCTATGCACCATTACATATATTCAAACAAAATCAATAGTAAGGGCATTTAAATGCACATATTCATCAATAAATTATCTCTTAAGTACAATTAATCTGGAAAATATAAATTAATTACAACAAATATTTAGAATAAATATCTATTAATGAAAAGACATCCTCTGATATAGTTATAGTTACAATCTTGGGAATTCCCCTACATCCTGACCAGCTCTGTATTATTTAGATGTTAAAGTATAGTAAGTAATGCAGAGTGCTGTAAACTCGTAATTTTGTAAGTAATGTTAGTACTGTAAGTAGCACTAGTACTGTAAGAATTGTAGCTGTTACAAGACAAAAAAAAAAGTAAAAAAAAAAGTAAAATGTTTTAGGATTTTAAGAAGCAATGAGATTGACAACCAAAATAATAATAAAAAAAATGAAAGGCCACAAAAAGCTGTTTCCTAACTCAAACAGTTGAGAGCTATTAGTAAGAACAAATTCAGAATCACTGTAAGTTACATCCTGCATGTTAACTGGCTTTGTTCCCAATTGCAGGGCTTGAAGAAAACTTGAATTCCAGCTTGCCCTAATTCTTACAATCAGCTCTCAAAATGTTGCTTGCATTGGACAAGTCTTACTTCGATCACAGTTTTTTTAATTTAGTTGGCACTGACGACTTGCCTGAGCCCTTACCCATCAGGCAAGTGAGAATGAAAAGTAACTTTCCAGGCCTGCCAGGAAAATCTACTTGTCCTGGACAACCCGACTTATTCCCCTGGATGGATTGCCAGTCCATCATATTATTGAATAATTTAAGAATGGACTGGTAAGAACACTGGAAATTTCTAATACCCAAATGTACCTCCTATTAATGATTAAGATATATACCGGTAGTATCTCATTTGTAAATGATTCGTTAAAACCTTTCATTGAAGAGATCTCCTGGTTTTGAATGCGGCAGCTCTTGAATAATGTTAGTTATCATGTTGTAGTAATCCTGTATTTTGAACTGGTCAGCCATGATGAGTGCTTTACAACCAACCTAGATTTTGGAAAATTTTAAAATTAAAGTTAATTTTCTCGTAATATGCAGAGAGGTTGATAATTCTGTGACATTGTAGGTCTGCAATGCTTGCAAATGAACTTCTTGTAATGTTAACTGATTGGCAACTTGAGGTCTGCTACTGTAGATACCTTTTTCAGGGCATATTCCACTTCTGGAACTTGATAGGCAGGATTTATATTGACCTAGAAAAAGAAATGAAATCCTTAAATGTACAGTCTGTAGTGATGAGCTATTTTCATGTATATTAACCATGTCATGAATTTCTGAATAAGAGTTTGGGAACTCTAGCGTAAGTCCTACTCTTGCAGTGAAAATATCCAGCACCTTCCCCTTCCAATAATACACTAAAAGTAATAAATTTAATTGATTAGAAATATTTATCTGTAGATAAATATATGGATCAACAGTACAGCTCCTCAAAATTCTTCTTGTAGTCTGAATTAACCCTTTATGAATGAAAGACTAGTATTAATCCACTAACCAGTATCAATCCAGCTTTGGCTGCGGCAAACTGAGTGATGACCCATTCTCTCATATTGGGACCCCACATCCCCACACGGTCACCTCTTGTTAAGCCCATGGCAAGAAGTCCTGCAGCAAGATCATCCACCTACAACCAATATAATTTTGTCTTAGTACCTACAGAACTCACCAGGTTGGAAAAATACAATGCAAGGGTAAAACTGCTATGCTAATAGTCGGTCCTCTAGATCAGAATAGCCAAGACAAATTATGAGGTAGTTTTGGGGGAAATGCTTACCTCTTCCTGGAATTCAGCAAATGTTGCTCTGTGATTGTCTTCACAGAAGACATATGCCTCATGGTTTGGGAATTTCTCAACAGTTTTATCAAATTGTTGTCCAATAGTTCCACCGATAAATCGTTTTGTAGACAGCCCTTGACAGTAACTGAATTGGAGCTTCTCCTGAGAGCTGAGTGTGACAAAACAAACCTTCCATGACTTAAGATTGCTGCAGAAAAGTTAAACTATGTTAAATCTTGAAGGGGATTATAATAGCATCACACGGTAACAATCCATGCCATGCCACTCCACTCCACAATACACCAAGCTGCCACAAGGGTTTTTCAAGGTCAAGTATAATCAAGCTAAATACCATAATTTTGATTCTTGTATTGTGATATCCTGCAAATCTATACTAAGAAATTTGAAAATGATTTTTCTAATTTTGCATGAGTAATAACCTTTTGAAAGCTACAAGTCAAAGTAACCTTTGTTTTTCGTTAGTTTAATTTGTTCCTCAATTCCTTTCTTTGGGTTCGTCACGCAATGAGGAAGATTGCGTGACGAGCCCAAGGAAGCTATCCGACCCGAAGCGCGAGAAAAATGTGTCTGTGTTTCGCCGCATCAAATAGCAGTGAAAAGGTACAAAACATTTACGAAACAGGACTGAAAAATGTGGAGTGATCCTAGGAGAAAAAACAATTCGAAATAAAATACTCGCAGACACGTTTTTTGGGAAAAATGACCAAAATCCCTTCGACTTGTAGCTTTCAAAGGTGTTTCGGACGCTCGCACTGAGGTTACGAAAATTCGACAATGAAAATTCTTGGTATCGTTTGATAGCCAGCTCTATCAGCTTCGGCATGATCCAGGCGTTTAGGGTATCTACAGTTTAACCAGATGTGCTGCATCGCTTGGACGTCAGACAGTTCTGAAGGAACCAGACGCCGTCACGGTAGTGACCTTAGCTGAATTATTCATGAATTATTTACGAGTTCAAGAAGTAGTTCGACAAACGAGTCATAAAAGGAAAGGAATTGTCGATATTCTCGCTTTTTTCTTAAATGAATGACCACAATCCTTGAAGCTGTAAAACAGTAAATGTAATAAGATGAACAGTGGATACCGAGACAGAAAGGTGAATAATATTGTAAACATTTGAGATGCTTACTTTTACCTACCTTGTGGATGAATATCGCACCCTTCTTCGCCTAATTACACATGTGGGCCTTAAAACTCTTTGGATACCTCGACCAAACATTCCCAGATTGCTGCGCTTTAGAGCAGAGCCCAAACACGTTTGGCTTCTTGTGGAAAGCGTCGCCATTTTAAGCGCTTGGCAACCTTTGCGGAATAAAATCGCTATTTCCTTCCCAAGGGCCAAAGGTGTCAAAGGTGGAACTCTTTGGGAAATTGTAAGGATTTGAAATTCAAAAACTCTGAAAAATTACTCCGTTTTTCACTGAAGTTACAATAAAATTGAAATCCTTACTAAAGTCGCACACGCTTTTAACTCGTTTCGGATCTTCCGTTACATAGAAATTTATTTCCCCAATGATCGAAACACGGTAACTGAAAATAACAAATTACAAACACGGGAATGAACATAAAATAACTAACAACCACCGAACATGAAGAATGCAGAAAAGCGGCAAAGCGAAATAAACGAAGAAACTTACAAGACGAATGTGAAAAACCAAAGACGAACCGAAAATCAGAGACGCTCGTAGTACCCAATGACGCTACTGACTGAAATAAATTACACGCAAACCGAACTTATAGAGTATGCAAATGAACATGACATATACAAAAAGGGCACAAAACAAAAGAAACTAATTACGCAAAACTTAACACCAAACACGAAGCAAGAAGCAAGAACAAATGTCACAAATTCTGGCGCCTACACTTACCTCGTATACTTTCTTCTCTTCCGTGTGCCATGAGCGATGTTGGTTTTAATGCATCAGACTGTTCTCTTTGTATCGGTTTACTCACTCCAATTTTTCAACTTTTTTCTTGAAACCGTGACCAATGGTCAGTCTATTCCGATTTATTTTCATGGACTCTCTTTCATCCTCCGAACAAACTAACCCTACACTTTCAACGAAACTTTCCCCTCATTGCCAAGCCATCTTCCCCCAACCCACGCCATCCCACCCCACCTCACCTCAAAAACAACAACAACAACAACAACAACAACAACAACAACAACAACAACAACAACAACATTGGAGGGCCAGGAGGTGTCCAAAGCAGGACTTTGGAGAATGCAAGAAAAAAAACAAAACAAAACAAAACACAAAAAACAACCAAACATACAAACATACAAACTTTAACTACGTTTCTGGAGTTTATTTGGTTTTTTCAAATTAAATCCAGGACATTTTGCGAGAGGTGCTCTGTTGACGAAATAATAATACATGAAGTCGTATACATGTACCGCAATCATTTTTCATTTATTCTTTTATTATTACAAACTGCTCTTCACGCGTTGTAATAAAATAATAAAAGTATCTTCAAGGGGCTTTTACGTTCCTTCTAAGTGTAAATTTATCCGACAGTTTATCCAAACTGTTCATGTATTCAAGCCATGCAAAATCCAAATCAAAATACACAGAAGGGTAAAAATTTCATGTTACCCAAGGGTATAGGGATTAGGAGAGAATTTATTTATATTTTTTTTGTGATCCATATTCAAGGCGACGAAATTAGCCAAGCAGTGACTCGAACAGTGAAACGACTATAATTAAAACGTTCCAAATATATATACTGAAGTGTGTGTAGCGTGGTCCAGCCATCATGAAGAAGGAGAACATCGATTGATCCTGTAGAGCGCCGCAAATGATCCCCTATGCGGCTCTGTACAATTCTCGAGTTTCTCGACGACTCCGATTGTCCTTGTTCAGAGGTCCAGCTCTTCTTTTGTTATCTCTCTCATCACAAACTTCTTAACCTGGTTAACACAAGAAAAGCACGAGTCACTCCCTTCCTTTGTAAACTGAGAGTTCAGCATAGTCAACTCCATGAAACGAACTCGCTCAGAACTGGCGCTAACTCAGTATAAAGTAGTAAATAAATAAGAAAACCGAAGTAATTTAACAAATACACGATGTTTTCTCAGGTTTCTGGCCCGGGTTGTTCGAAAGGTGGATAACGCTATCCACTGGATAAATCACTGTCCAGCGGATAGCGTGGTTTGTCTTGTTAACACTTATCCACTGGATAGCGATTAATCCGGTGGATAACGTTATCCAGTATTCGACCAACTATGACCTGGGTTATAAGAATTTTCACAGGCTACGGCCCTGCAACGGTTTGCCTCAGAGAGGTCGATATTTTAGAGAGGTGTCCATGTTAGAGAACTGTTTGTTTCAGGGTTGCATCGAGAACTATAAACGTGTCTGACTAAGAGATGTGTCATCTTTGAAGACACCAATCTTAGGCAGGCGTCTGCCTGAGAGAGAAATCATTCCTAAAAAAATAACTCCGTCGTACATTACAGAAGTCCTTTCCCATCCTTTCTTCCCCTGGGTAATACGACTATGTCCTTACCTTTCCTGTTACAGTGAGGGGAAATTCATCAGTGAACTTGATATAACGAGGAATCTTAAAATGAGCAATCTGAAAAATAACCAAACAGAGATTTCATCAGACAGGTTGCTGCACACACTAGCTCGATCAACCAAAGCCTGGAATGCAGACCAGCCGTGTCTATCTAATACTTAGCTTTGTTGAACTAGCACAAGAGATCTGAGAAAGAACGAATTAAAAGTGATTTGCTTGCAGGAAGTTAATCTCTTTAGCAGCAGCCGTTGTTTGAGACGTCACGGAGCATTGCGTGATGAACCAAACTTGTGCCGTCACACAACATAAATGCGAAGGAGACCAAACAAAAAGAAATACGTTTTTAAATCAAATACTCTTCATAACTTACCTGCCCTTTACAGAACTCTTTGATTTCCTGCTGTGTAGCTGATTCACCAGCATGCAATCTGAAAGTATCATCCAGGCCAAATTATTCATAGGCTATGAGTAGTCCCTCTTTCGCTTAGTCCGTCGAGCGAGACGCGAAAGAAAACCGCAAGAAAACATAGCGCGCTTCTCGCCCCCAGGATCTCGCGCGACCATTTTTTCTCGCGGTTTTCTTTGGCGTCTCGCTCGACGGACTAAGCGAAAGAGGGACTACTCGAAGTCTAAATTACTCAAAGCAAGACTTAAATAATCAAGGGTTAGGTTCGGCTTCCAATTCAGATTCTTGATTATTTATCATTTCTCTCAGTTGCTTTTGCCCACCAACTTTCACTCTAACAATATCAAACTATGTCTAACACTGAAAAGAGTTCTGAAAGGACGAAAAGTAAAGTTAGAAAGGTAAAGCGCCAAAAGGTAAGGTAAAGTCTGCATACGAGCCAAGTGACCCATCAGGCTGGCGCCGGCTTATCTCGGTTTCTGTAGCATGAAGCGACTAGGAGTATTTTAGGATGCTAGTCCATTCCAGGGTTACTCCTAGCATTAAATTCGCCGGTACCCACTTATATACCTAGGAGAAGTGAAGTACTCTGAGAGTAAAGTGTCTTGTCCAAGATCACAATGTCCCCGGTCAGGCCTCCAACCCGGATCTAGAGGCGAACGCACTGACCATGAGGCCACCGCACCTCCCAACAACTTTCAGTCTAACAATTTCAAAGTATGTCTAACACTGAGAAGAGTTCTGTAAGGACGGAAATTAAAGGCTTGATTTAATCTTTAAACCCTGAAGTAGTGTTAAGGACCCCTCCTCTAAGGATTTTACACGGAGTGAGCCCACAGTTCCCTAAGAGGAGCTGCTCAGCAACATAAACATGTACACGTGTTACCGTGTTGGTAAGCAACACAACGTATCCGCTAATGCTCGTTGGAGAATGCGGATCAGACACTTTTCGACCTCTGCTTATACGAACGAGGATTTTAAAGAACTTGAATTCTTACTTGATCCATGCGCAAACTTCTTCTCCCAATCGGGAGTCAGGAACACCGATAACCTGAAGACAAATGAAAATAGAAACACAATTTTACCACTCCTTGTCTATGAATTGGACTTTCTTCTACGACTGAAGCTTAGTGAATCGACAGTTTTGCTAAAAGCCACAAGATAAATTTGTTGCGTACCAGTCATATCTTTTGTCCGTTCTGTATTGTTTCAACCGTAAATCGTAGGTTTTACGACAATGGCGAAAAGGTTTGCCCAAGTTTTACTTGGATGTTGTGTTTACTGTTTATCGTTTGTATTCATCTCCTGAACCATACCTTTATCAGCTCTCAATAAACGTTTTTGATCAATTTTTATTGTTACCTTTGCGTTGGCTGTGTCATGCATTCTCCGAGATGTTCGGCATACCAAACAAGTGTGTAAAAGTTGCACGTGCGGTTGTATGTTTCAGGCCCTGTCCACGCCACGCCGGAGAAATTTGAAAACGGAGGTTTNAGTCTTAGATTATTTCCTGTTCCTGTGTAGTTCAAAACAGCAGAATTTTTAACAACTAACTAAAGGAAATAGACAGCCAGAAACCAAAGTCAGTGAAGAGTGATGGTCAAACAAATTAAGTCTGACTCACTGTTTTTGTTTCTCTAATGAATGCTGTAAACTATTATTAATACCTCCTCTTGGAATTTGGCAAATGTAGCCCTCTCATTATCTTCACAGCAGACATAAGCCTCACGGTCTGGGAATTTTTCTACAGTTTTGTCCAGTTTTCGTCCAATTGTTTCACCAAGAAAACGCTTTGTAGACAGCCCTTGACAGTAACTGAACTGGAGTTTCTCGTGAGAGCTGCTTGAAGGAAAAGAGAAATACTGTAAATAGCTGTAGAGTATTTTCATTTTCTTAGAGGCAAATTGTCCATTTTATGTCTGTTGATAAGGTGGATCAAAATTAACCACCTAAGAAATAACCTGATTTCTTTTACCCACTCAAGAAAAGCCCTTCCCTAGGGGAGGGGAAGGGTATGGACATAAAATAAAATACCTGCCTTATATCTAGCCTACATTTTAACCATATTATGTGTGAATAAATATAAGTGACGACACAAGATTGCTGAAATTCATCCTGAAAGTCGCCCAAGCAAACCATCCACAGTAAGTGTTTAAGGTATCTTACTACAGTTTTGATGGATAGTAGGAGGCCAACCTTTAGCTCTTTCGAAAAATTGTTCCAAGAAGTTTTTCCTTTCTCCAATTACTGTTTTCTTATTCTTAATACCATTACATGTGATAACTGAACAATTTAAACATCAATAAATGGAAAAATTGAATGACCAAGTGCCTAGGAGAGNATAAGGTGGATCAAAATTAACCACCTAAGAAATAACCTGATTTCTTTTACCCACTCAAGAAAAGCCCTTCCCCAGGGGAGGGGAAGGGTATGGACATAAAATAAAATACCTGCCTTATATCTAGCCTAAATTTGAACCATATATGAGTGAATAAATATAAGTGACCACACAATATTGCTGAAATTCATCTTGAAAGTCGCCCAGGCAAACCATCCACGGTAAGTGTTTAAGGTATCTTACTATAGTTTTGATGGAGAGTAGAAGGCCAACCTTTAGCTCTTTTGAAAATTGTTCCAAGAAGTTTTTCCTTTCTCCAATTACTGTTTTCTTATTCTTAATACCATTACATGTGATAACTGAACAATTTAAACATCAATAAATGGAAAAATTGAATGACCAAGTGCCTAGGAGAGACTGGGCACTAGTACATGTATGTTTAATGACGTTTTTCTCCAAATCTACGCATATGACCCCACCTCAAAACTTCAGGAATTAGAAATTAGCTCTATTTGAATATTAATGCAAAGTAAAATAAAAATCTGTAAACAAGAAAATGNAACAGCGGTTTTCTTCGATCGGAGGCAGTCTCTCGTCTTTTGATTCACTTTACTTTGGGGCATTGAGATGTTTTAATATCTCAGCGAAACACATCGGTATTTGGCCTTTCGAAGCCTTTTTCTGCCCTCGTACAGCCTTTCCAACGAAAGCGAAAGCTTAGGACAAAGGGGAATCGAAACTCCCGATATGTAAGAATAAATTAACTACCGATATTAGCATTGTAAGAAGACTATCAAATACCTCACGCTAGATGCATCGATTCGCGTTTCGATCTAAATGACAGAATCGAAAATGCCCATTAAAACTTTCCTCTGTTGCTTCAATGTTTATGAAGGATCATGGGTCTGTGGACTTTGCAGCTTGGTAAAGCAAGATATATTTGAATTTGTCAAATTTCTTGCTGGTGGATGGAATGAGTGAAGCAATCTGAAAACAATAATATTACGATTCTTTCCCGACAGTTATTGGGAGCTGCGAGGGTTTACCTTCAGTGGTTCAACTTAGAATTTCGTCACCGGATGACAGCAGCCGCAAGAAAACAGTTACTGATCGACTTTAACAGTAAGTTGTCTTAAGAACAGTATGAGTTTTTTTTTAGTTCATATTAGTTGATTACCTTATTGACCTTGCATCGCCACATGACAATTAAAATTTATCTTTTAAGGGTACATTTATTTCCATCTCCGGTTATTCTCGGTTCCCGATCTCCGGATTATTGTCACTTTGTCGATCGAGTGAGACATTTCTAATTTTCGTTTTGGTCCTTTTGAACTGCAGAGATCTGTGACTGTAGTCTTTCACTTCCTGTGGGCTTTAGCACAACAAGGATTGAAATTGAAAGTGCTTCGAGTGGCAAGAAAGTCTTAATAGCAAAAGACAAAATCAACATTTTCTAGAAAAATAATTCACAGTTTAATAGCAGTGTTCTGCTGTCCAAAGACCGGCGAATGAAAGAAATGTGCTTCAGTTTTATCTAACTTAATTTATACACACAGATTGCGTTTATCAAAGGGGGAAATGTTTGTTATCAAATCAAACGGAAAGTTTTATTCCTTGAACAATAGACTACAGCGTATAGGCTTTCATGCATGTCGCACAATTGTTTTATGTACACATAACAAGCTATTGGACCGGGAAGTGGTTGATCCATTTTGAAATTCTCAAGAATATCAAATGAATATAAATAGGTACGTTGTATTTGAATTCTGACGGTTTTAAATGAAAACCCCAGAAATGATATTTGGTTTGAAACATGAGTAATACAAGCCGCAATTTTTATGCAGATTTCTATTTATGCGTGGTTTCATGTAATAACCTAATATAAAAAAATATAGATATCTTGCGTTATCTTTCAGCGACCTATCGCGCTTGCGTTCAGGCTTCTTAGATACCCTGTCTCTTATTTAAAGAAATTAATAAATGCGGAGAAAAATAACAAGATCGAGAACTGGATAATAAACAATTATTCCACGAGCGTGCGTTGGATATGAGATGGTAGATAGCCAACGAGGCGCCTAGCGCTGAGTTGGCTATAATCAACTCATATCCAACAAGCGCGAGTGGAATAATTGTTTTTATTGAAAAAAAGGCCCCTCAATATAAAAAAAAAACTAAAATAAAGTAAATGTAAAAACGCCCCCCAAAATCACGCGTATGCTTACCCTATTGGAAGAGCATGTTTTAATGGCTCATAACCCATGACTGCTAAGCCAATGAAAACTCTCGAACTGCATGATCCAATGATCTACTTTTTAATGAAATTTATATGATAAATTGTAATGTATAGTCGATTTCTCGTTCCGCAGCCCTTCAGCTGATAACGATTCTTCAGATGTCGGCAGCAGCTGTTTCTATAGCGGTGTCGCTTTTGATGCTCATCGGACTTTTTAAGGTTTGTACTTCCCACTCAGCCACGTGCCAACAAAACTAGTAATTCCATGTTCAACCGGAGTAACTCTGACAATAAAATACCAGTAAATGCCCTACTAATACGAGGTTGTCTGTTTTAGATTGGTACTGTTGATTCATTTATGACAGATCGCGAAAACCTGTATGAACATACAAAAGTTTTCTGTGTCTTTTGCAAAACTCAGTTGATTGTTTCGTTGTTGAGAAATACAGCAAGATTTGTTGGATAGGCCACAATCATCGTGTTCTTCCGAGAAACCTCGGAATAGATAATTCGGGTGAATACTTGTTAAAACCAAAACACAGCAAAGTAGAAATGGAAATTTAAGCACCGCCATTACAGTTCGCCCGTTCTAACTTCCTCGAACCGCGGATACCAGAGAATACAAGAGGCTTTCCTAGTGTACTCCTAAGATAAACGGTAATCACGTATAAAGCCTCAAGACACTTGCCCTGACAACGATTAGACTTTAATTCTGGTATCGAACATACAACACTAGCTAGTTTCTTACGTTAAAGACAATGATGTGATGTGACCAAGTGGTTAACTTTATTTTCGAAACTGTTTGTTCCTCAGCGTCAGCGATGGCTGTTGTTCCCGTGGTTAATGTGGGTAGTGATTGAAGAGCTTTTTTCTATAAGTGTCATCTTCTTTTTTGTGGCTTTTGACGTCAAGGTAATTTATTTATTTGTAATTTTACCATCCGCTTGCGTTACGCTATCCGCCTCTTGTCATCGTAGTTCCTAGGTCTCGATGTTTCACCTCTGTCAAGCGTTTCAGGGTCACGTGGTCCGAAGGTGCCCTTCTGGGAGAAAGCTGCAGAGGAACTAGGCAAATTCCCCCTCCCCAGCCCCGGCCCCTCCTTACTTCATCAACCAGGGGTCCGTTTCTCGAAGGTCCCGAAAAGTTTTCGAACCCGAAAAGCCGTAGCAAAATCTCAAACCTGATGACTACAGAGCTGTTTTTTCCACCTGTTCTTAATACGAACAGAGCTCCCTTCATAAAAGAAGTTTCAGGCGTATACACCTCTACGTCTTTAAGTACTGATTAACTAATAATGGCTTTTCGGGCCCGAAAAGTTTCCGGGGCTTTCGAGAAACGGGCCCCAGATCCTGGTTGGCCGCAGTCTAATACTGGTCCTCCCGTGTACAACCTTGAGAAGGAACTTAAACTAATCCTACCCTTTTTGTAAGTCACCATCTAATATCAGGCGAGTGTGTTCAAACCATTGTTCGTATTTTGGCAAGAAAGGTAAATTTAGGTACACAAATTCGGCCATAAATTCATCCGTATCAGGTCAGTGACTTGACATCACAGGAAATCAGGACAGTGGACATGGCTCCCGATTGGCTAATTGTGAATTTGGATACGGTAATGAAACAGAACGCCGCAGTCTTCAATCAAGTCTCTGAGAGGTTCGTTCCCAATCCCCCCGTGCCACCACAGTAGCTGCTAAACTTTCTGCTTTGACACTGGATTTTTGACCCACTTCTGAAAAATGAAAGCTGAATACACATTTAAACACAAGATTCTCTGCCTTATCTCACTTTACCTGAACAATCTAAGAATACTTATTTCTGTTTTTGAAGTCAGTGGTAGCACTTTATTTGTTAGGAATCACGTAATAAAACAGGTACTGACAATGTATTGAACAAACATTGTTTTATCACAGTTGAAGTGCTCAGTGTACGTATCAGATGCCGTCATGTTTGTGACCTCTGTAAGTACAAACGTAACATGTAAGGGAGGGGAGGGTAATGCAAACTTCACATGGGTTAGGAATGAACAACTGTACTTGATATGCCGGGTTGATTGTTTGTGTTTTCCCACATTGAGACAAAAGGTTAATTGGGCTCCTTCCAGCAGGGATGCTTGCCTCAGAATTTGACAATAGTATTATGATGAAAAAATACTTCTGAAATTGAAAAAAATTCACTGATTATTTTACGACTATGACACAAAATGCAAGCTGTAATAAAACAAACGGATCTCATAGCATTCAGAGGCATTTTGTCTTCCAAAGAATCACAAAAATTAATATTATTTCCTAACTAACCTAGGCATGCAATACGTGCAAAAGGTCTAGTATGTAGCTGCGGTTCCTTGCACACAAAGCAGACCTCTGATACTACTTATACCATAATAATTGTTATCTAGTCAGTGACTCAATGATCTGCCAAGCAATATTAATCACTTGAATCTTCTTTTGACAACCTGTAGATGTACTTTATGCTGTGTGTTTACTCATATTTTCATCATCTGGGTGTACAAGACCGCATTAACAGGGTAAGCTAGGATGTGCAAAACTGACAGTAAAACTTCATGACGAACTTAACTTAACTGTTAGTAGGGCAAAAGAAATTTTTCAGTACACCACTATTAACTCTCCTTGAAATGACGTCCACTAGGCAAACATATTTGAAAATTCAGGGAAAACCTTCACTTAAGGACAGGGCTTCTTTTCAGATTACTATCAGAATTGTTCATATATATGATGCAAAAAATGTAAGCAGTTCAATATTGACCAATCAAAAGTAACGTCAACCCAACCTCGTTCTCCGGGTCACAAGGTTGATTTCAACTTAACAATCCAAAGACAAAATCAATACTTGTTGAGTCATCAAGATCCTTAATTGAAAAGTGAATACTGTGACAATTTTAAACTGCGAGAGAGAAAGAAAGACATGAAAACAAGACTTCATGACTCATCACAAAGGCCTCCAAGCTCTTGAGATTCAGAATCAAAAGTTTACAAGACGTGAGATTTTCTAGGTACTAATTGCCACCTCTGATGTAATGGCATGGTGATAATCAATTAGATATTTTTGGTTTACTAAAAAGCCTTAACTGAAAAATGTAAAATCACATAAAATTGATTTGACACGATAGTGTTGAATGCTACACAATCAATAAAATGACATATTTTTTGTTAACTTTCAATTTTCAGTACAGTGCAGCTGTCCACATTGCTCTCGGAGATGACTTTGATGAAGAAAGGTCTGCTCCTTGGAGAAACAGACCTGTGTAATGGAGATCACACAGTGCTTCAAGTGCATGTGGAAAATCCAGGGCTTGGATTTTCAAAGAAGTTTAAGACGGATTCTGCTCAAAGTTCGAGCAATAAGTGCAAAAATAATTTACTAAAAATCTAATCACAGCACAGTAACTTTTGGAATACTACTTAAAACAACTCACTTTAGTTCATTTCTCTAAGTGACCCCACGATTAAATTCTCAAGCATTCTCGAGAAAGTTAATGTCAAACCTTGTAAGAATACCTAAAGCGTGTGTTATTGTGTTTTTAACTATCGCCAAACTTCTGTTTTAATTGAAATATGGATAACTTCAAGTTCAATTTCTCTCGCCGGATCAGCTTGAGAGCTTAAGTCCCGCTAAGTTCTTCTTAGCTGTATTCAAAATATTTCCATGCTATGAGGTTTTTTTGGTAACTTAATTTTTGCCATTATTGCTCGAATGTTGTGTGGAAATCATCTTAAGCTAATCTGAGAATGGCAAAAATGGCATAAATGTCTTAAGAATCCTTAGAATTTAAAAATAAGAAATAACGATTGCGTCTTCGTTCTTAATTTTAGACCGCAACTCATCTCAAAATTTTACATGCAAAAATTGTTACCAGCATGGTGAAAGCTGCTTTTAGATGAGATGGAAGAATTTTACAGCTGTAACCTTTTATTGATGTACAAAATGGATATCAAATTGAAGGGCACCTTGCAGCTATAGTTTTCTAAGGTAACAAAAAAAATATACCAGTAGTGAGCCAAAAATAAAAAAGGTTGGTTGCAACTGAAAAATATTGAGAAACAAATTATGAATAACAATCCCCCTCCCACCGACCCAAGTGTTTAAGATGGATACACTGTCCATGACATAACCCCTTTATAATTCAACTGAAGTTGATTGAGATCCATCTAATTACCACTTGGTTATTTTTAATGTTGTTTTTTATGCAGCAAAGAAGAAATAACTTGACTATGTAAATTCTACATTATAATCTTGATATAAGATGAAAGATAAAAATAAAATTTACATATTATTTTTATTGACAATTTTCAGCAATAGTGGGTACTAAAATGAAAGAAAAGAATTTTCCAGATATGATACACTATACAAGCAAAATAATACCGTCCCACAATGTTGGACATTTTCTACCAGGAATTTGTAACTAAAATATTTTATGACCAAAATTGTCACACCATTGTAAGATTTTCATCCTCTCCGGTAGATATCTTATCAATGTTGTTTCACACATAGTGGCACTGCAAATAGGTATTTAGCTTGAGAAAGTTGGGAGAGGGAAGATGAGAAAAGAAAAAATTGGTGGGAGGGGAAAGGGGGACGGAGAGAAAGCTAATTTGGTTTTATCACAATTTCAGTAAAAATTGATAGCCCAAGGAAATCTTGACTTAGGTCACTTGAGTTTCTAAATAAATAAAACATCATCTAAATCTATTTTCACACAATGTGCAATCTGCAGGCAAGCATACATGTAGTTAAACCCTTATCAAGCGGCCACATACTAAATGGCCTCCCCTATTAGGCCTCCAGTAATCAAAGTCCTGATGAGGGCTTTTCTATTGTTTTTACCTCTATTAAGCGGCCAGCGCCCTCTGAGTGGCCAAGATCCATTTCCCCAAGGGTGGCCATTTAATAGGGGTTGAACTGTAATAAGTTTGAATAACTCTCTTGTCCCTCTGAAAGGGTCTTGAAAAGGCTTTGCAGAGTCAGACTTTCACCTGGTTGACTAAACATTTATGAAGAATGTGTTTGAAACAAAGTCTTCTCAATAATCTTCCTATTTCCAACTTTGTTAGTCTTTTTTCAATGGCTTTGGCCACTGCTCTTCCTGGATAGCCACCCAGATGTATAAACCAATAATCACATGAACAACTATAACAGTTATTGTGGCTGCACCAATGGATCCATTTTCATAACCCAGAACATCTGATGATTGATTGTAAAAAAAATATGGTATAAGTATAACCCTTTGGTGCTGATTAATTCACGTGAATAGCAAAAAAGAAAAAAGTTCAGCCTTGTAACTCTTTTCTACAAACTGTGTCTGTCCAGTATTTAACCATAATTTAAGAAAAAGGCACCTATCTGATAGCTTTGCCTTAGTTAACATTTAGGTGGTCTTCATAAAGTAACTAGGCATACTGCCATAGCTGTCGGTGGGAGGGAGGACAGGGGTCAGAACCTCCTTCTTCCCATACCTCTCCTGCCCCTATACTCCTGGGTTCCTGCCCCCTGTTCCCCCTTCCCACATAACTGGTAGTTACCTTCCCTCTTCTACCTTACTAGCATTTTATCATGTTGCCTTTTGTTAATAATTTACCAACACCCGAGAATATAATAATAGATTCATTGGGAAAACAGATTTTCACAAATACATCTCTGAAGTCTCTGTAATGATGATAAAAAGATGATGATGATGATGATCTTGAAAGGTTAATGGATGGGGGTGGGGGAGGAGTAGAGACTGGAGTTGAGAGAGAGGGGAGAAATGAGAGGGGAAGGGAAAGCCAGTGGAAGAAGATGTGGACAAGTAACTGTCAAGGCTTATGAAATGGAGAGGGGCTAAAATGTTCATTTGCTCATGACACAAAGTGAAAGCTCTTTCCCTTTAATATGCACAAGTATCTATACTTCTGCGTATTAAAGGGACAGAGCTTTTGCTTCAGGTCATGAGCAGATGAACATTTCCTAAGCATTGAACAGTCACTTGTTCACCTCTTCTTCCATGGACAAAAAATATGGATGGCCTGTCGGAAAGGATGAAAAATTAGATCCATTTACCCTTCTTTTACTTCTTTGCAACATGACTACCATCAGGTTCCAGACAAAGCCCTCACTACTCCCAGTGCCCTCCCAGGCACTTTTAGATATTTACATATACAAGATGGTGGACAGCTCAAATGCCCTACCATGAGGGGGTATTGAGTATAATCAAAATCCTTACCAAGAGCACAGACCTTACAATCAAATTCCCATGGGTTGCCCTCCTCTCCCCCTCGGGCTTGACATTGATAGGTGCATAACAATCAATTACAGAACATTCTACATGTACTAAGACTACCTTCAAAGACCATTTTCTTGGAGAGGAAAAAGCAGGAAATTGGTAATATAATCATGGCTAATGTAAACTTCAAAAGAGTCCAGAGCACTGACTTCTCTCGAGGCCTGTTTGTAAACAATTGAATAGTGGGCATTTATTACACACTGAAAATAACAAAGCAAGCACTAAATAAGCTTGTGAAAGATGTTTAAAATATCATTAATGGGTTGTAATGCTGTACTTACCCTAAGGTATCTCCCTGACTGGCAGATTGAATCATTTTTGAGTATAATCTATTAACAAATTTCCCGTTGCCCGACCACCTTAAAAAATTGAAGTGTTCCTCAACTAATTCAAAAGAATCTCTACGTTCTGTCTGCATACGCGTCCGCCATCTTCTTTTTCATTGGTAAAAAAGAAGAGAACTGGGACTAACCTAGTCCCACTCTCTCACGGGTCTATCAGTGTTACGTCAGACAACAACATGGCGGCATGTGTTCGTCTCTTTCGTGCAAAACTGTCGCGTTTATCCCTTGTATATTTCCACAAGAGTCGTCCTTTTATCGCAGCGGTCTTAAGATTTAGCTCAAACAATTGTTCAAGATGGCGAAGGCTCCATTTACCTCCAAGAAAGAGCTTACACTGCGGTGTTGCATTGGGGTCAACATTTGGGCTGCTATGTGGAGGTGTTGCTTTGTGTGCCAGCTCAGGTACGAATATAATGTTCAACGTGATTTTTGTTTACGTAGAATCAAAGATTGCCTCTCAATGTGTTTTTCTGTGTTATTATATAAATACAGANCAGGCCTAAAACTTGGAGAAGTGGCTTATTTAGTTATCTTCTATAACATCATAATTTCATAGCTTTTTCCACTGGATGGTTTTTGATTTAATTTTTATTGCGTGACAGTGAAAACGATCTATTCTTTGTTGTTTGCCAGCTTCCCAGGCCAATCTAACACAAACCGTTGTAACGCAACACCTCCATATGCTGGAAGGTGAGAGTCACGTTTCGCGTATTCAAAGCTGGTCGTTATGTAATAGTATATGAGTAAAAAAAAGATAATCCCAGTAAAAAACCTACCTCTATCATGGACCACTTACAGTAGTCATTTACTTGTACTCTATAAAAAATGCTGATGCTGCTTCAAACCTTGGTTTGTACACAGTAGTGTTAATATTGTGATTTTGTCAATGCTCTATTCCACCAGACTCATTAAACAAGGTCATGACATTAACCAGAAGCATTCCCTGGGGTGGACCCCACTGCATGTTGCTGCTTTTAATGGCAGTGAAAGGTAAGGTTCCTCTCTTCGGTCTACTCCCTCTTTCTCTCTCCTTCCCTTCCTCCCTCCTTCCATCCATCCATTTCTGCTTGACTCAATTCTTAGATTCTTAAACTTTCTTTGGTTTCATCGTGTTGCAGATCTGTAGAATTATTAATAGAGGCAGGAGCTGACGTTAATGCAAGAGAAGAATTCAGCACAGCATTCCGAACTGCTCAAAAGAAGCACATGAGATCCTTTGATGGTAGGTTCTTCTTTGTTCTTCTCTTTGTGATTTTAAAATGTGAACATATTTTCAGCAAAATTTATGAGTGAATAATATGAGAAAGCATCCCCATGAGATTAACAAGTGTTTTTTCATTTACTAGTAGATAAGAAGTGCATTTTTGGTTGCCATGGGTAACTCCTTAGTTCACTATATTTACATGCATACTTAATCTATAATCCTCCATTTTGCTCTGAAGAGTGGCTAGCACTTGAAACATCAGCTTCACATATTTTCTATTATTGATAAATAGCTATTAAGTGAATCAAATTCTTTGGGGGTTCTGCTATAAACATTCCCCTCCCCAGCCGTTCTATTATTTTATTATGAAAACAAATTACAATAATTAGTGAAGAAGCCACAGCAGCCCTAGCTGGTTTTCATGCAGGTCCTCTATCCACGTTGAACTGGAATTTGGAGATAGTTAACATGCTGTCGCTCATAAATTCCATGACTAATCAGTTTTCTTTGTTTCAGTGATTTTTATGCGTGATGATGACTTCAGTGACAGGCTTCATAGGAATGCTAACTTCAGTGGTTTCACTCCCCTCCATTATGCTGTTCTTGGAGACAGTCTTGAATGCATTCGCCTCCTTGTTAATGCTGGTGAGTTTCTAAAGGGTTTTCATCAATTATTACCTGATAAATTATTGCCTTATGATGCAGAAGCTCAATGGTTGGTGCACTGCGGACCATTTTGAGCCCTGGCCAGGCACATTGTATTGTGTTCTTGGGTAAAGACAATTAACTTTCACAGTGCCTCTCTTCCCCCAGGTGTATAAATGGGTACCTGCATTATAAATGATGGGTGTTAATACTGTATATAAATGGTTTGGTTGCTAATACTGCAACGAACTACATGTATAATCCCTTCCAATGGGGAATGAAGAATTACTCTTCTAAAGCCCCTTTATGATAGTTAAACCAGTGGTAAACACAAGTCCGGCGGACCCGTTGGCTTGCATGCAGGCATTTTTTGGATCTTGACTAAATGTAATTATTATTACAATAATTATTATTGTTTTAAAATTCTAGACATGCTGAATAACTTGGCATTGGATTGTATGTACAGTGTGTGTATGTCATTGTTACATGAATACTGATAATTTGTTTTTTTGCTATCAATGGATGATTACAAACATTTTCTTCCCAGGAGCTGACCCAACACTGAAAGACAGTTCTGGCCACCAAGCAATCGAATATGCAGGAAGTACAAATATTAAAGACTGTTTACAGGATAAGATGGAAACGGTAATAGCCTTGCTGATATCATTTTACATGCTGACTTTCAAATACACTGAAATACCATAAATGTATCGGTGAAAAGAGACTGGAGACAGTCATGTGGTACATACATGTATTGTGCCAAAATATCAATTTATTTGATGTGTTATAGTGACTGATTATAATAAGCAATAAAGCATTTATCCGTTTTTGCATAGCCTCACCTAAACACAAGGTGGGTGTGGAGAATTTGAGACAGTTATGCAAACCCAAGACACAATCGAGAATTCTTTCAAACCCCCGAGTGTTTAGATGAGGGTATGTAAACACGGAAAAGTACTCTATTGCTTAAGGTATCACGGTAGGTGAGTTTTTACAAAAAATACGAAAAATATTTTTTTTGTTGTTTAAATTGAGAAGACTCAGATAAATATTTTGCAAAAAGAATGGTCAGAAAAGCTTTTTTACTTTTTAAGTTAAAGAGAAAAACTATTTTTGAATCTCATTAACCCCTTTTGGTGCGTTGACACCTCTAAATAAAATTCACCGCCAGTTGTCATGTGTAAAGCGAACTGCGGTGTTATATTTCATTGGTGCACACGAACTGTCCTCGATCTCGTTCTGTCATCGCAAGCATCAGGACAAAAACCCAAGAAAACTTCTTGCCCATTTTCATCTTCGGAGAGGCAAAAATCTGGTGGAACCCACAGGTTCAGTGTCGAACAAGATCCGTTGGCTCTGAGCGACCCAYGGTCACACTGTAATGCGTCAGTCAATTCCAGCAGTGCCCATCCCCCCCCTCCCCAGGGCTAACCCCCAGGCGTTAGCATTTTTTAAAAATAAATTAGCAAATTCCCCGGGGTGGGGACACATAAGCTGTCTAAATGCCCTGGGGTGGGGACAAAGAAAGAGGGCAAATGCCCCGCCCCTGGGATCATCGCCTTCCAACACCTCTGCAGTTTTTTTACTAATCAGTGAATAAAACGTTTAACTGTTCAGTATTTTAATGCAACGGTAAGACTTCAAGGACAACAGTACGTGTTAGTTGATTCCGATTATATTTATTTCTGTATATTTGTTTTTAACAGTTTGGTAGAGGATAGCTGGGATCGCGGCGGACGTGCCTCCAGCCACAGGCAATGATAGGTGCCTGTTTTCGTAGGCTACCTTTTCTGTGAAGAATCAAGACATTTTACATGACGATGCATTGCATTTTAAGCTCGCAAGATCTGTCTTGAAGATCGCATCATTTGAATTCACAAACCTTAAGTATTTTAACTCCACTTTCATGAATTTAAAAAATGCTAGGCTAGTTTTGAATGCGAAATGCAAAATAGTCATGTTCATGTCAGTGACTGTTTTGTGATAAACAAAATATAGTTCACCTTGTCGCTTATATTTATATGCTTACAAGTAATAAAGAAATATCTAAAATGGAGAAAACACACCTTTAAAACATCTACAAGTTTCTCTAGTCCCTGACGGACAAGTTGACAAATGCCTCGTCTTTCCCGATGAACTCATCCGTGGTACTTTCGAAAACATGTGTGTCAAATGCCCAGGGGTCGCCCCGGGATATGCAAATTCCCAGTCCCTGGGCTGCGATAAAATTGCAGATGCCCAACCCCCAACGTGAGCAAATGCCCCACGGTTGCCCAACTGATGTATAACAATGGTTGAAGGAACTCGAAGACACTAGCCCCCCCAATGAAGCTGAAGGACAAACTACAACAAGTGCTAGTCACTGTCGATCCACCTACCATGATACCTTAAATTATCGAACGTTCTCAAGAAAACGCACAAATCTAAAATAGCACAACGGTGTTTACATCATCTGAACACACCTATCGACCAACAAAAGCATGTGTAGTATATATCAAATATTAAGTCTCTAATTTCTAATATTTAGTATGCTAAAGAGAAAGAGAAGAGAGAAATAGAGGAGAGGCGTCGCTATCCATTAGAGATGAGACTAAGGGAAAATATTGTTGGGCAAGAGGGAGCCATCCTCACAGTTGCTGCAAGTAGGATTATTAATGTGATAATAATTAATAATTAACTATAATTAGTTATAATTAATATTATTCTTATAGCCCTTATTTATGTAGTCTTCACACCCAGTCCTTTTCTTTCTTAAAACAACATAGTTGCCAGAAGTTTGAGCTGAATTTGGCATAAAAGAGGCTTGGAGTGAATTTTGAGCATCTCGTAGAAACATGCATAATCAAGACCTATTTCACTGCAGTATGTTTAATGTACATCTATCTGTGTTAAAAAAAAAAAATTATTCAACCCTCCTGTCATGATCATGAATCCTGTTTTGAAAACTAGGGTCTGCACCAGCACTGAAATCAGCTCTTATGTGATCAAAGGCCACACATAACTATGTTAAATCCAACTTGGTAAGACTAACAAGTATTCCAATACACTGTGCTTTTCAGCAATCCGTAGAAGAGAGAATGGCTGGTATGATGAAGAACATCCTCTTGTGTTTCTCTTTCTTGGATCTTCAGGAATTGGTAAGTACTTTTCACGATTTAGTGTCGTCTGAAGTTAGACTCTCTCATGTTTAATTTGAAGCGTACACTGAGATGTGCAACATTGTTTTTTTTAATCTTTTCTTCTTGTAGGAAAAACAGAACTAGCCAAGCAAGTTGCAAGATACCTTCATAAGGACAACAAGAAGGTAAATAAGTTTTGATACACAAACCTTACTTTCCTTGCTATACATTGAAAAAGGCATGCATTCCTTTTTATGTAGTAGCGTAACACTTTCCGTTTTGTGTTGTTTTTCAGGGTTTTATAAGACTGGATATGTCTGAGTATCAGGAAAAGCACGAAGTAAGAGTTCAGGATGTTTTTTACATTAATTGCTTTCGATTTATTTTTGTCATCGCTGTATTAGTTTCCTGTATTAGTTTCCTTCCAAGTTAGACTGGCAGACCGTAATGCCAACTTATTGGGCTCTGTGATTGGCTAAAATGTTTGGAAAGCTAACATGAAGATGTCAAAGTCAACTTGTTGGCTCAACAACAGCTTGAATTGTGTTAAAGTGAAAGATTACCGTTTTATTCCTCTTTAACTCCTTCAAGCTACAGAGTGTCTTTTATATAAACCAGCAAACTAATTTATCAAGAAAAGAAATCAGAAATCACCAAAACGCTATACACAGACCACGCGTAAGGTTTGAAGCAGCTTCAGCATTTTTTATAGAGTACAAGTAAATGACTACTGGAGATGGTCCATGCTAGAGGCAGGTTTTTTACTGGGATACAAGATCATTTATTGTAAATTAAATACTATAACAGACACTTCCTGCAAGCTTAAGTACGGCATACTTTCGACTTACGGATTTTAGTCTTGCAAGTCTGAAGTCTTATGATTCTTAGCTCAAAAATGATGAATTTCCTTTGAAAGAAAATTCCATTTAAAACGCACTTAATCCTTATTTTAAAGGTGGCAAAGATGATTGGCGCCCCTCCTGGGTACATTGGACACGATCAGGGCGGACAGTTGACCAAGAAACTAAAAGAATGTCCAAATGCTGTGGTCCTGTTTGATGAGGTTAGAAACATGTTATTTCGTGAGCTCAGAGCGTGTGATTTTACATTTCTTAATTAATCTTAAATAAAGGTCTATATGATGCCACATAATATTGCAAGTGATTCACTTGAAAAGTAGACTTGACCTGTGTTGCTGCTAACTAAAATGTGCTATCTTACGTTAATTGTTCCAGGTTGATAAGGCTCACCCAGACGTTTTAACCGTTATGCTACAATTGTTCGACGAGGTAACGTTTGAACTCCGGGGGATGAAGAGGGGAGGGGAAAGTGGGCTGGTGCGATGCCCCCCCTGTTAAACTAGAAAGGTGCCACGCCCGATGGTGTCGTGTTTCAGTTTGATCTGTCTTCGAGATATAGTTTGACATTTTACTTTCCTAGTCAGTTGCTGTATACTTGATTGTTGCATCAGTCTGCTTTTATTTTAGGGCCGTTTGACTGATGGACAAGGCAAAACCATCGTTTGCAAGGACGCCATCTTTGTGATGACGTCAAACCTTGCTAGTGAAGAAATAGCCAATCACGCTTTGGATCTGAGAAGAGAAGCGAAAGAAGCAGCTGAACACAGAGAAGAGGGTCAGTGTTGTTATGACGGCTCTCAGACAATTATCATTACAAAGGGACAATTGCTATTATGCAGGCCTGCTACGCAAAATAAAGAAGTTCATTTTAAAGTCTTGTAAACGGTTTCTTAATGGTTTTGCTCTTTTTATTCGTCTCTTAGATGGCGAAATTAGCGAAAAGATCACTATTTCAAGAAAGTTTAAAGAGAGAGTTGTACAACCAATTCTCAAGGTAAGCCTGTGGTAGCTGTTCACAATTAGATTATGAGCTCGAGATTTCTATCGCGTGATAGTTGACGAGGGCGCAGCCCTCGTACTATCACTCTCAGAAATCAGAGAACGGCATTCGTGATAGAGCTAGTATATTTATACTAATAAAATATGGAATACAGCTATTCTTTTCTATGATCGG